ACACGGGAAAAAGTTTTGCCCTAAGCAATGTCCCAGAGAGGTGCACTTTGCAGATTTTAACCCAAGTAAAATAGGCGCGCTTGCGAATAGCAAGATTTTCCTCCAAATAATTTTTAATCACGAATCTGAATCTGTCATCACTTTTTCTATATCTTTTGTAATTTTGGCTATAATAATCCAAATATGGCAGACTGACCTCACAAAACAAAGTATTTAAATTTTTATTTCGAGTCAATATACGTAGTCTGCCCATAAAACATATCAGATTGTGTAGGCTACACATTTTGCAGTTAGTGTACAAAATAAATTGTGCTATAATACATATTTTATTTCTAGAAATAAAACACTTTAAATGTATAAGCAAATATAATAAATATTATACATTAATTACATAGCCTAATTCAAAGTTCTCAAACAATTACCTAGCTACCGTTCTAAGTACATCAATTGTTCATTTACCATAATATAAAATAGTACATCTTGTCTTTGAGCGATTAACACTACTTCCGATTTTTTTTTGTTACTGTAAAGATCCATAATTAATTAACAATAAAAAATCTGTCATCAATCACATCGCTTATGCATTGCGTATTTATTTAAAAAATTAATTAGAAATATAATAAAGTGAGGTCTTTAGGAATATTTAAAAAATAATCAATATTTTCATAGTCAATGGATGAATTCAAAAATCAAAATTGCTCTAGCTACCATAGTTGTCTCCAAATAAATTTTATACCACTTGTTTTCATAATTTATATCACCAGACGCGATACAAGAAATCTGAAGAATCGATTTTTTTTTAATTTTCATTTCGATAAAATTGGACACACTGAATTACTGCCGACTTTATATGATCTCAGAAAGTTGGATCTCTGGAGTTGTCAAAAATTATCCCTTGTACAGGCATCAAATTGTATTAATGTGATATATAATTTATAACAAAAGATCAGCATCATAATCATCCAGCCTTCTGCGTCCAAAGTTGAACATAGGCCTCCCCTAATTTCTTCCAATTCTGCCGGTCTTGAGCTTCCTGCAGCCAATTGCCAGCGATTATTTTCACGTCGTCTGTACACCGTGTAGGTTGTCTACATATGCTTCTACTTTACTATTAGCACGTGGTCTACACAATGTTATTTTTTGGATCCACCGCTCGTCATTCATTCTGGCAACATAGCCCGCCCAGTTCCACTTCAGCCATGCTATGCGCTCTATGGAATCTGTGACTCTTGTCCTTCTTCGTTTCCAACTCTGCCTTTGAGAGTCAGTCCAAGTAGCGAGCGTTCCATTCGTCTTTGGGCTACTCCAAGTTTGGTTGGTGTATCCTGGGTTGAGGAAATTTTTTGGGTGCCATAAGTCATGAGTAGAAGTACACATTGATCTAACGTCTTCTCATTCAAATAATTTGGCATGTTACTCTTGAAGAAGTTTGATAAAGCTCCACATGCAGCCCATGCTAAGGGGATTTTTCCTTTCAGTTCGAGTAATTTGGATCTCATGGCCTAAGTCTCTATATTTATGAATTTATCCCATTTCGTGGCAGTCGACTCTTGGATTATTGCTTGGTATCAGATTTGTCATGTATTGTGTTTTTCCAGAATTTATGTTCAAACCAACTCCCCTACAGGTGGCATCTAACTCAGTAACCATAGTTCTCATCTCTTTTCTTGTTAACAAAAACAAAAAAAAACTAATTTAAAAGGCAGATATTACAAAAATATGAAGTGGAGGATTGTCTTTGATGGCAAGAATCTGAACGAATGAAATAACACAAAGCCCTGGATTAAGAAAGCAGCAGAATAAATACCTCTGATGAGACAAAACAACATGAATAACAGTTTAGAAACAACGACAATAGTAATGTCGACAATAGTAATATGGGGAAATCGAAAAAAAAAACTGGAAAATATGGAAAAAGATATCAGAAAATTCGTTAAATAGTTAACCAATCGAAAATAGGTGCTCAAAAAATTATTAAAACTTCTAATCGGGAATCTTACTAGGATCTGTTCAGTCTTGAGTCAGCTAATTCCTATTACAGGCGAAATAATTGAAAGCTTTTTATTCATTCTTTGGTGTATCTGTAAAGTGTTAATTCATATTAAAACAGATTTCCGCCAGCCAGTTTAATTACCGCGATTTATTTAACCAATGTGATTAAAATAAATCCTTTTCAGGCAGCAAATCGATGGGAGTAGAATCTGCAACTTTTCGAGACTTTTTTTGTATTGGTTTCAGGCATATTTACTAAATAAGCTGATCAAAGGTCTTGTAAATAATTAATTTTTTTGGAATACATTCATACTCCGGCAAGCACCTATTAGTGCACCCTTAAAAACATATATGTAAATGTAATATGCGAAGAAAAACTTTAATTTATTTTACCTTCGTTGCACAGTACTTTTCGTCTGATCCTTTAGTAAAAAAATTGCTATAAAACTATTTAATAAAGCTCATAATTTCGTATAGTTTTCATAGTTATTTCTTGATGTATATTAATAGTATTTCTAATCATTGAATAAATCTATGATATGCAGTTGATGTTAAATAAAATAAACACCATAGAAAAAATATATCGCTTGAACTAAATGCTAAAATGAAAACGTTTAAATACTTGGGAATGATGATAAATGACCAATTTGATCAAGGTACGAAAAATTGGATAACTCGGCCATATTCTGAGAGGTAAAAAATACACAATCCCTTAGCTAATCATCCAAGGAAAGATTGAAGGCAAGAGAGGAGTAGGTCGCAAACAAATGTCGTGGCTACGAAAATTAAAGAACTGGACAGGCATAAAGAACACTGGCGATCTTTTGCATGCCGCAAAAGACAGACGTCTGGGCTTAAGGTAATTCGCCAACGCACTATAAGAAGAAGAAGAATCATGAAATAATTGGTTCATAGCGCCCAGGATTTATTTTTGGATATAGTTATAGAGATTTAAATACCGCACGGTCATCGGTTTAAAAACTTTAAACGAATTTTGGGTTTTAAAGTACAATTATTCGAAAAAGTTGTTTTTTATTTTCAAGATCTACTTAAAGTAAATAACTTAACCTTTAGATGACACCCCATTGCGTACTAGTAGATTGAGTCATAATTTCAATCGTTATACCGCAAAAGATATATCCTTTTGATAAAAAAAAAGAATAAAAATGGTTTAAAAAATATATGTTTGAGTTAAATACTGATAAGTAATAATATATATACTCGGTTCGCTATTCCCAGTCCGGACTGTCTAGTTAATTCAGTAATTATTTTTTTGCGAAGTTAGTTACTTTTCGACAGACTAAAAGTGGCTGGAAATTACTATACAACCAAGCACACGTACTCATAGCCAATATTAATAGTAAACAAACTAAATAATAAATAAAATAGAACTTTGCGAATTACCGACAATCAATATTTATTTATCTGCATCATGTAATAAATAGTTGTTAAATGTTAAATTATAACAACTAAAATATATTTTTTAAATATATACTACCCAAAATTTGATGGGTTTAGTATACACTTCCACTATTTAGAATAATTCTTCTTTTTTTCAAAGAAAGAAGTCTGCAATAGTAGTAAACTTGAGCTATTAATACTGAGAAGTAGAAATTGTTGTGTTGTAGGTTTCCGATAATGAATCTCTCAAAATATGCCCGAGCTAAGCAATTTTTAAACATTTTTTAAATCCAAAATCAGTTTCCAGGTAAAATTGCCAATTGCTCTTATCAATATTATTGAATATAATGGATTGACAGAAAATTAGGAAAGCCAATCATGCAAAGAGGATAATGATGAGATATGCTATCCGGCTTTAGAGACAAATGTCCGTTCCGCCAATTTATTTCCTCAAAACTATCGAAGCACAGAAGTAAAATTTTAATCTGGCTGATGCAAAAGTACTGCTAAGATGGAGGTTATGTGGGAATACAACCAGAAGGACCTTTTGCCAAGAGTAACTTCCCAAAGGCCATAGTAACTCGGTTGGTTAGACCTATTAGGAGAAATAAACGCAACATATCTATGGGTAGATGGTTTACTAGTATTCACCTCTACAAGACGTTGAATGCATATGGGCCAACTATGATAGGAACTATAGGCAGTAATAAAAGAGAACTACCTCGTACAGTTGGTAACAGGCATAAATCCGTTGTCTTCAAACATATTTGCCTTCCACAAAACTGCACTTTAACTTCTCCCAAAAAACGACAAAAATTTCCTGCTCCTTAGATTCCTTAAATTTCCTATATACACTTGCCTAAGATAATGAGGGGGAGACTGAGAGAACTGACTGGTGCCTTAGAGCCCAATTTACAAGTCAAACTAGAGAAAAGGGGAGCTACAGGTCGTTGTGTAATGTGCGAGTGAAAAAAGGCGAAAAATTAGATTCTCCTGTAACAACTGTAAAGTATCTCTGTGCCTTTAACACTTGATCGGTATTTGCGCAAAGTGAGTACAAAACACAGATCAATCGGCCTAGTTTTATTTTTTGTTTCATTTTCTCCAATTATACATTATTGACATGTTTAAAACCAATAATTTTAATTTTTGAATATTAATTCATTTATTTAAGGTGCTTCACACATTATTACCCGTAACTATTTAAAAAAGGATTAAAAAATATGTTTGTTCTTTCAATTTTTTTCACGTCACGTCAAAAGCCAGGAAGATCGGAATAACATGTAGTACTTGAGAAATATAAATAAATAGGCGGCTGTAGCTGCACCTACAGGTTTAAGGAAACTTAAAGAAGCAATGGTTTCTGAATGGGAGAATATTTTCAAAGTCATCACCTGCAACTTACTAGTAGATACGTATTAGTGTTAGTAGTAAGTATATGTTAGTTTAAAGTTTTTGTTACAATTCACACGTTATATTTTTACCAATGAAGGTATTTTGGTGAATGTTGACATTATAAGTATCGCGTTTTGTTAAGGAGTTTATTTAATAACATATTAAGGTGTATTAAAAAAATTCATATCTGCTTTTGTGATTTATTTATTATTGAAAAAATCTCCAGCTTAACAGAATTTCTATGGGGCATGCAGAAGTCCAGTTATATTTTTCTAAAAATCTTTGAAATCTGGAAACCAAAATTACAAAAAAAGACTGTATTTTATAGTTTATTTCTTATCAGATATAATTGGAGATGAAAATAATATTCATTTAAATATTTATTCAACAATCATTTAATTAGTGAACCACTAATCAATGTACACAATTAAGTAACACTCAGTGTGAAGCTAATACACATAGATAGGATATAAAAAGTGAAATGACAGTCATACAGGGGACACAATTTCATCTAAACTGTTTAGAAGAAAAAATTACATTCAGAAGAATAGACTGAGATATAAATTTCCCAAAAATTACCCTATACTACGACGATTTTCTCACTTTTGCAATGTTTATAAAACGGTATAGATGATCAATTTATTGAATTTTTTTTTTGACAAAAGGTTTCTAACGGTTAAAAACTGTGATGTAAAAATATATAAAAAAAATTAATAGTTTTTTGTGATTTTCTCATTAGCGACACTTGAAAGTATTTATATTACAATCGATACACAATACTCATGATTTTTATAATTTATGGACACAACTTGCTTTTCCAATGTGTGTATAAATAGTTTATTTTGAAAAAAAAAAAAGTAATTTCAGAGCTTTACAGTAACCATACATGCATCCTAACTCTCTATGACAAAAATAAAGTAAAAAATAATACTTTCAGATACTTTGTATCATAATACATGATCAATAATTACTTATACAAAAATATAACTAAAAAATTAGATACAAAAATTATAAATAATTTTAAGTCCGATCGACTACGCAACTTATAATCGCAAAAAAGCCTCTAGCACTTTTATTATCGGTTGAATATCACACACAGAAAACACCTGAATTTTTCTTATCAAAAATATGGCAAATGTTTTTATTTATTAACAATTACTGCCTCTTGGCGTGAAGCAATCCTCAACTATTTAAGGTTAGTTCGTTCCATCTGGCTTCGAAGAACTGTCTCATGGCGTGGCCTGCTTTACCCACTGGGCTGTCATCCTCGTTGAACGTTTCACAGTTGTTGAAAATTTGCCTTACGTCGACACAAAAATCTTCTCTTGTTTTGTACCTATAACAATGATGATTTTAAATATAGAACTTGGAAAGTAATAAAAAACATGAGCAAAGATAATACCAAAGACATAATATAACCAATTAACATTGAAAACGGCCCAAATATAGAAAAACTACTTGCAAACATGCTAATGGAAAAACAAAGAAGAATTTAAAACCAGTGAAAACATTAATGACAGGCTATAAATCAAGGCTCCCTTCTCTGACTAAATGTTAAAGTAAAGGAAATCTAGTAGGAGAACCAATAAAAAATGGACCAGATAAGCTATGCTCTCTATTGAAAGATTTGTTTAAATAAATTGGAAGCCCCTCCTCCCAAAAAATGGAAAATAATTACATGTGGACAAAAGAAAACTGTGATTACCGGGAATTGCTGTAACGGATACACTAATAGACTCTACGGCTAGTTAATGAAATAAGAAAATTTAAAACGAATTCAACGAAATGGAAGCAGAGGAACAAGCTGCATTTAGAGCGGGACGATCAACAATGAACCATTGTCTACATTGACACTAATAATAGTAATAACAAAATACCATATAATTAAGAAATCCATGATGTAAAAAGAAAAGTCTCTACACACAATCCTTTATGTTTATTAAGCCTTAAATGATGTTATGTTTCTGCCACCGGTTTCACAGATTAAAATTTGCCCGTCAACAAAAGAAAAACTAAGAAAACTAAGAAAGGATTACATTATAAAGGACATACCAACATGTGTACGATTTTTAATTCACACTGTGAATCACAAACACCGAAAATGGTTCATAATCTTTTTGCGTTTCTAAGATTAATAATCTAAACAACTTTGGATTCTGATTATAATTAGCAGAGTGCTCTATCGAGAAGAAATATTGTTTGACACATTGTTTTAATTGTTATTGGTCGATTATTGTTATTAATCGAATGGAAATCCAATAAAAAGGCTTGGATTAAGTCAAAGATTACCTATTGGCGAACAATTTAAAAAGCATGACAGAAAAGTATTCCTCTTCTTAGATAACGCAATTTACCACCCAAATATAGAATTGAAAAATGTTCAAATTGTTTTTACCTCCCAACCACTCGCTTATACAAGATTTTTGGCTTTTATAAACACCGAAGAAAGTTTTGACAAAAAAAGTATAGATTTGTCAAGGCAACAGGGAAACGTTTCATCTGGACTAGGAACAAAGGCTTTCAAAAGGCGTTATGTAGAAACGATCAAAGAAATTAAGGCTTTTGAAGAAGAAGTTGACATTCCATTCGGTAAGTTGTCCTCTCTCCTTTTAAATGATTGGGAAGTCTTAACAGAGAGCCCAGATTTTGAGTTGTAGGAAATAATTGAAAAATTGAATTATAAAGAAAAAGCAATGCTTTGGTCCAGCATATACTGAATGAAGAATGTGAAAATAATGAAGACGAAGACTAAGATTTTACTTACGACATTTGAAAATATGAATGAAAGAACAGTTAAAAGTTAACAAAAACTCTTGATAAAAAAATTACGTTTTAGTTATTGATATGACCTAAATAATAAGCGAGAATAATGTAATAAAAACTAAAATAAAATATTTTTAAATAGATTTCCATTCAACTATTTTTTCGTAAAGTTATATCTAAAGGTATAAGAATTGTTTTATATTAGCCTTAAATAATATTATGGTAAGAAAAATATAGAGGAAATATAGAGAAAAATGTAGAGAATTAAGGTAAGTACATAATACTATACGTAGTACATAATTTTATTAATTGTTTCATGTATAAATTCATTTTTAATACACAGATGGTATATTATAAGTGGCAATAAATGAAAATCAATATCAGGAAATATTCTGGACCTAACTATATTGTCGTACCACGAGAATGTAGTAGCGAGTGAATCATATTTTCAATGTAGAATTTTGCGGGTCTTAGAGGAAAGGAAATCGATAAGCCAAAACATAATTTTTGGGAAAATCCTTTATCCGTTTAAATTAACAAACATGACTGATTCAATGATTAAATTTAATTCCCATTCAAATGAGGTTTAATGACATGGGGTTAGAAAAAGGGTCGTCTAATAACTTTTAGCACAGGCAAAACTGAATTACTTAAACAATTTTCGGTACGATTATAGTAATAAATGGTTTATCTTAACTGAATATTTATTTCCATAAGATATAAAAAATATGTTCAAATAAAAATTAACATTATTATATAATCTAATCTGAGTCATCTATGTCATGTTCAGATCAATGAGTAGAATCTTCGCTTAGATCTACAACTTGTTTCGTGGTACTTTCAAAGAAGTTATCAAGGTTCCACATATTCTGCTCTTCTTTCACTACATGCTCGATACATTTTATCCACGAATATGAGGTCACATTTCTAACAGCACTATTAAGCAGATTTTGTAAATAATTTAATTTGAAAGTAACATTCTTCCTAGCTATTTCATTTTTTTATTTGAGCTCATATAAGTTCTATCGGACTTTTGAGATGGCTTCTCTGACAAGTTCATTTTATGTACATCCGTACCACTCTCCTAGGTTGCGCAGTCATGACATTCTACGCCTCCCTGTGATTCTCTTTCCTTGGTTCTTTCCCTGCATAATCAGTTGAGCAAGGTGTATTTCTCTACACGTGTAATATGTCCGAGATATTCCAATTTCCTTGTTTTAATTGTATTTAAAATTTCCATTTCTTTATTCATCCTTCTCAGAACCTCTTTGTTTGTAACGTGTTCTGTCCACAATATTTTCAGAATTCTTCTGTACACCCACAGCTCGAATGATTCCAGTTTTTTCATTGATGTCGCATTCAAAGTCCACGATTCCATTCCATAAAATAAAGTCGAAAAAACATAATACCTCCCCAACCTAACTCTTAGTTCTAATTTAAATCCCTTGTACATAGCACTCTTCTTATTTTGTTGAAATTAAAAAATTCATGTACTGCACGACAAATGGCCTGTTTGGTTGTATTATCCAATTTTATTTATTTCGTTTTTCTTGTCTCAACCTTCATTGTATTATTATCGTTTGTTTGATCGTCTGTGTTAATTACTCAGTACACACTAGCTTCTGAAACTTTTGTCTTAAAATACTACATAATATAACTACATCGCTTACATTCATATTTTGTTCTCTGGCTCGTTCAAACAACACTTATGATCATAGTTTTTTTTTTCGCATGTTAAATTGTAACGTTTCTTTTTGATACACGATTCACTATTACTACTGTCAGTCATATTTATTATTTTTCACCAAATTGAATTAAACTAAATTACTTAAAATTCACAAAAAGTAAACTTAAAAGCGCTTTCCACTAATAACACTACAAACAATTCTGTTCTCTGCCTATGAAACCCCTTTCAGTGCGCTTATGAAACCGAATTACAGATAAAATACAATTAAATAGCTACCCGAACAATGGGGTTGTTTTCAGTTATGTCGCCTTAATTTGCGACGTTGTTGATCTTAGACATTATCTACCGTTAGACCAGTCAAATTATTGAAATGTATTTCATATAAAATGAGATCACTTCTATTCGATCACTTCAACGTATATTCTTTAACGAGTCAGAAGAAGAAAGTTTTTGTCAATTTTTAAGAGATTAAACAGATTCTCCAATAATCCACTAATTTGTTTATTAAATATTAATTAAATTTTATTCTTTTGTCGAAACAAAAATATTTTTTTCTAAAGAGTAATTGTCAAATTTTACTGGCCTATAAAAAACAATTCGAACATGAGTCAGTCGTTGCAATTGTGGTACTTTACTTTAGATAAGGGTTTTACCTCTAATCACCGAAGGATAGGGTAAAATCTTTATAAAACAAAAGAAATAAAAGTAAATTCAGATATAAAGAAAATTAAACAGACAGTATGAGGAAATTGATTTAAAAAACGAATACTCACTGTTGGTCTTGCAATCTTTTCTTGATAGTTGACAAATCCATCGGAACCTTTATAATCTTCTTGTACGTAGGAAACTGCTTTGTGTTAACAGGCAGTAAAAACGGCCAAGCATCGTCGTGACATTCCAGATCTTCCAATAACGTTTTACACGGAGCGAATTCTTTTGCTAGTTTCTTGTTCCTATCTTTTTTGTTGTGATTTGGAGTGGATGGAGACTCTACGTTAAGTACATTTGTCGACGACGTGTCACTTTGAGAACTATTTAATACTGATATATCTTCAGTTGTTGTCATGGAGCTGTGAGATGGAGTAGGGCTAAAAATAGACCGAAGTTGGTTAATTGGATCTAGTTTAAATATTTAGTAAATACATAGATTTAGATTTTCATATAATAATAAAACACTGACAACTTTTGTTTTCAAAATTTCCACAAAATTTATTTTAAATTATTATCATTACAGCTGTTTCGGCAAGTGCCTTTCTCAAGTCGAGGTGAAATCGATCACTTTTTTCATACGCCATTGAAAAACCTACAAGAGTGCTGAAACGTCACTATTACTTCTAAGAATTTACTGCCTACAAATTTGATTCTCGATTATACCAGAGTACTCAGAAACAAAACAATAACCCATGGAATGGAGTCACTCTGGTTCTTCAAGGCACAAAAAATTTCGTCTTACAAAATCTGCTGAACAGTTCATGCTCGAGTTTTTTGGAATTGTCAAGGAGTAATCATGATATGTTTCTGGGTAGTGGTACAATAACTAGAAATTACTATTCGATGAGAAAAAATGTGGAGAGAAGACGCAGAAAGTTGTACAATTTTTTTGTGGAACCATGCTCCTGCACATAAATGGCATGTGTGAATTAGGGTTTGAACTACTTTAACAGCCCCCGTACTCACCAGACTCGGTTGAGTGCAAATCATATTCTTTAATATACTAAGAATATTTCAATACATCCTCATATATTGAAATTATTCTAGAATAATTTCAAAATAAGAGAGATTCTGAATAAATATTTAATATCCAAAATAAATATAAAAAACCAAGTAAAAATGTATGTAGATATTTAATTAATTATTACCTGACTGGTGCCTGAATTGGCTCTGTCACTTCAAGCTCTTTCGGCTTAGGAGGTTTCTTTACTGGTTTCTTTTGAGGCTTTTTCGAGATGCAATTTAAACAGTAATATTTACCCCGAGGAATTTTGGGTAGGTTGGGCTGAATGCAATCGGTGTGATACGCACGAGGACATAATTCGCACAACACCAACTTTGAACCAGTTGTCGAAATTTTCTTACTACAAACGAGACAGTTACGATCTCCAGTTGCTTTATTTAAACATTCGGTGCAGTACCTGTAAAAAATAATTAAAGTATAAAACATAAAAAAGTATAAAAAATATAGTATAGTAAAATAAATTAATCTAGCTATCATAGTTAACAAGTAATACGATTGTTTGACAACAGTAAGTGCTTGTAATAGAAAAAGAAGGGAGCAGAATCTAACTTATAATTTAAAATGTTCATTAACAGTACAACTGAACTGTACAAACGTTCATTCAAATACGAATATTATATATAAATGCGTAACTAGGTAGAAAAGATTGCTCTTACCAATCTCCTTCTGGGATAGTATCCATCTTAGGTTTAAAACAATAGGTGTGATAACCTTTATCGCAGCCATCACAGAGTAACAGCTTATCTTCGTTATCGCCACTCTGGCAAAATTGACAATTCTAAAAAACAACAAATATTGGTTAAGCGAGCAGAAACAAGTAAGCATTTTTAAGTTAGCGCTAATACTATTGCAAAATGCTTGTATATATTATTACCGAGTAACTCAATATTCACTTCTCTGTAATAACCAAAGAATACAGTCAATTAACTTTATATTAGAATGTTGGATAAAATATCAAAACAGTAATATTACAGGAGTGGCTGTGAATTGAATCCTGTCCAATCACGGATGTTATTCAACCACTGTCTAGGCCAGGTTCTCTGTAGCCTCCTATTTTTTCTTTCTATGATTCGTTTTGGGAGCTTATATATCGGGTATCAAGTTAATTAATTTTAACAGCTCTCTGTTTTTTCCATTCTTTTCAAAACTTTGTTTAAAACCTCGTTCGAAGCCTCAAGGCGATTCATTGTACCGACTTTCATGGTTCGAGCCTGGTTGTTATTGTGTCTAAGCCTTCAGTTAAGGAAAGTTGTTCCTGCCATTTTTAATAGGTTTTCTGTTATCCAGCAGCCCAAGTATTTTAATTTTGTCACTTGTTCTATTGGCTTTTAGACAGTTATGGTTATCAGCAGGTTCAGGTTTTCTTTACTGACCATGATCTTAGTTTTAATCGTGTTAAATTTCACGCCGAGATCGTCACCTTCTCTGGTTAGTTGTTTAGTAGAAGCTGGAGGTCTTCTGCGATGTCTGCTAATACGCTGTGTCGTCAGCGTATCTTATAGTTCTCTTAGCACGGTTGATAGGTGTTTCTGTTGGTAGGCGTGTTTCCGATACAGGTAAAACTGAGGCAGTAGGTCGTTTTTGTATAGTTCTGTTGTATGTAGAAGTTCCATTAACGAGTGTTTGACACATTCAAAAGCTTTTGTATGATCTATGAAGCAAACATATACCTTCTAAAGTCCTGAAAGGTCCCTACTCAATTCAGAGCCTCTCCTCTCTGTAAGCTAGACCAGACACGGTCTATACTACGTTCCACGTTTAGAAAATAACATTGCGGAGATAGGGCCATGTATTTCTTATGGACGATAGCAACGCGGCGTTGCCACAACACACACAAGCACAATTTAGGGTTGTATAATTTGTATTTTTGTTTCCACAAACATGAATTAAATTAATGTTTTTTAACGTAATTGACCAACAGTGCCCATTCGAAACAAGAGATGAAAAGTAGGGAAAATGATTTTAATTAGATAAATAGTATTTACAAAAGATAATTTTATTTTATCTTATTTTAATTATAGTAACGACAGTTTATTTGTTTTTCGGTGAGAATACGATATGCCATGAATCATAGAAATCAGTAGAAAATATTGACCGCTTGGAATGCGTATATCTAATTACTAATTGCAACTTAAAATAATACGATGTGCGTATGTCAGCTATTTTATGTCGTTCTCTGACTACATAATGATAATAAGGCTTTTATTTAGTAGTTATTCTGACTTTACAGTTAAATGTTAATTGAAAATGAAAATTCAAAAATTAAGCAAAGAAAATATCTTGGACATCCGTGCAAAAGAGAGTGTCTGAGAGTTTTGGCAACACCGATCTCCATAAGCGTAATGTTATTTTCTTAACTTGAAACAAAGTATAGTACCAAAACAACAATTCAGTTTTGGGCATTTTGAACTTATAAATATACATCAGTATATATATATTTAAAGCTTATTTTATTATAAAAATATTTTATCAATATCAGAATTATAACTATTTTTGATCACTTAAAATATAATGGAATAGATCTGTGAGTAATTTTTAAATTACTGATTTTTTCAGTTTAAAATTAAAATATATACTCACAGCTTTCATGATACTTTTATCCCACGCTATACAAGCTTCCAATGAATATAGACACATTGATAATTGAGCCGTCGTCAAACTGCGATTAACCGCGTCTCTCCACGTAGCCAATCCTTTAGGTATTTCGTCACAATTTAGTTGAGTAGATAGAGTGCTAGAGGAAGATTCTTGGCTAAGCGTCGCTAAATGAGGATCACCAGTACTAAAACCATAAAGAAATTGAAAGTAAATATAAGGAGCCCACACGCATATGAATTGGACCAAAACAAATATGCAACACAATTTGATTTTTCTGAATTAGAATTTATTTAACTATTATAAATTAAACGGATACGATGAAACTTATTTGATACTATGTTGTTTTGTCAATTAATTAATAATACCTTATATTTTGATCAACAATAAATTATAAAATAAACAAAAAAAAGTGACGTCTGGCACAAATTAATTGGTTCAAATATTTAGTAAGCGTTACCACTGTGTGGAGTCACCATTACGATTTAAAACGGCATTAATTCTTTGGCGTATAGGCATCGCCTACTAATGTAAATTTCCTGAACTTTACCCTTTAATACAGGAATTGTGCGAACTGGTGTAGTTCGAAGTATATTTTTCATCTGATGCCAAAGAGTCTCGTTAATACCCAAAAACTTGAAAAACACAACATTATCATAATTACCCAATCAGAAATGCTGTCCTTAATACTTATTATATGTAAAATAAACCTTACCTGACTCCTAAGGGTGGCTTTAAATATCTTCTTTCAATATTCATCTCCAAAGATGCCAATCTTTCCTTTGCAAGAACGATAAATTCATCGTGTGTTGGCTCATCCAAATCTCGATTCGGCAGCTTCCAACCCTTCGTCTGCATGCTAGCGTTAGCTACTTTATCTTCCAATGTTTCAATCTGTAAAATATATACCTATAATGATTTCTAAACACAATAAAAATATGGAACATGAAAATACTGATGTTTTTGTAAACAGTTACCATAAATCAAAAGATGGAAAAGGACTTTCGACTTACAAAGCCATCTTCATAGCTATGATCAAATATTAAAGTAACCTACTTATGAAATATATAAATATATAGAAGAGATCATCTGGTAAGAAAATTACAGAAAAATTCTGGTTTCATTTTATTTGTTCTTATTTGTCAAAAACACATTAAAAATTTGGTTATGGTACCGAAAGGAAATATGGAAATTTGGTACATGACGCAAAAACACTCTTTGAAGGCGCTTTCATTGATTATACATTTAAAAACTATAAATAGAACTTAGCAGATTAAATTTAATAATTTTTTGTAATTTTATTATTTATTATTTTTTAAATATATATTTATTAGAATACTGTTTTAACTCCTTATTACATATACATAAGACTCTTTATTCTCCTTCTTCGGTACTTATCCTAAATAAAATTCAGAACGAAGGAAGCCGAAGTTATAAGAGACGGAAAAATAACATGTAGTAAAAAAGGCAGACCAATTCACAACAAAAAGGAAAAATTAAGCAGAATGTTTCCTAATTGTTTTGTTTTTAATTTAAAGCAGTATATGAGTAAACAAAGGTAGCAGCAATTTAGTTAATATGAAAAAGTCTTTTTTTAGCGTTTTTTTTTTCAGTAACACCATACTGAATAAACAGTTTCAAAAACTTATGCAATGCCATTGATGGATAGACGGAATAGAAACTGAATGAAAAAAAAGTGATTTAAAATAACCATGAATACTGAGGGCATAGTCGGATAAGAATGTCAAAATTGTCCAGCGGAAGCTTGATCCAAAATTTTGCGGTATAAAAAAAATTAAGATTCACCAAATTTTAGTAGTAAATATATGCAACGTATTGACGCACAACCTCAAAATTCCATAAAACGTAAAAATCGTTTTTTGTCGTTCCTCGCTTAATTTTTTACTAAAATAGATTTTTTTTAATAAAGTTTTGTATGTGCTCTACAAAACTATTTCAACGCCTTTGAATCCCAAATGAACCATTTTGGAAACTTAGAACCAGAGTTATGGTGATTTACAAGACAGTTTTCCCGATATTTTGCCATTTTTTGCCGGTTTGTGTTATATTTCTAGTTAAATTGGTATTCAGCTAACCTTTTTTAACAAGTGAAATCAAGACTTAAGTTGAACCCTACATTAGACAAATTACTAGATAAACATCTACGATAGCATTATGAATTAAATCATAAAGTAAAAAGGTTTAAATGCACTGAACTTATTTTCGCTAAAATAATAAGAATATTGTCACCACGTACGGGTAACAGTAACACTTTATCTGTTATTGTGGTGTGCAATAAATCGAGTAGAGTTTTATTTATTTACAATAATAAAGATGCTTTATAGCCTATTATATATAATTACATACTACGGTACGGTGCTACTTTTGCGGCGTCTCACAAATCTCTAACACTGTTTGTCCTGTTTGGTCACAGAACTATCAACTATCTGACAGCTGGCAAACTGTTCGTCAACTGATGAATGTGAATGCCGGCGCCATATTTCTATTAAAGAATATTTTGTATGACGGATTGTTCGGTTCGGCGCCAGGACTGTGACGAGACGTGACTGATGTGTCTGAATCGACCTTAACTCACACATAGAGTATCAGACATATACATTAAAAGCCCATGCGTAGTATACCTATGTCAATATTTACGCTACATACAATATAAATGTATTACATTTCTCAACATCTGTAATGTGCGGGATTTACTGCAGTATTTTTGTAGAGCATAAAAAAACCTTAATTAAAAAAAGAAATCTATTTTGGTAAAAAACTAAAGAGAGTTAGTATGTCCCAAAAACGATTTTTGACGTTTTATGGAATTTTGAGGATATGTATCAATATTTTATGCTAAAATTTGGCGAATCTTCATCTTTTGTGATGACGAACAATACCTCAAAATTTGGGGTCAAGTTTCCACTGGGGCAATTTTGACACTCTTATCCGGCTATGCCCTTTATAAAAATTACCTGCTCTAATAAAAACATGTCTATCCTTTGTTCCATTTCAATACTGTAGGCGTTGAAATGTTCTGGTTCTGGAGCACTTTCTTCGATATATTTAATTCCATCTACAGGTTCTTCATTTAAAGTTGTCAAATCCCTATTTCCCTCTTCTATAACCAGTCTTCCTTTCTTATCGTACATAGCCTGCATAATATTTATGAAGTTCCTCTTCAGTTCTCTCTCGCGTATTCCCCTTATTTGCAGATTGTCTAAGATTTCTCGGAGTTGTGTTGCGTCAAAGATACGCCACCAACCATACCTGGAACATAATTTTAATATACTGACTCAAGACATATTTCATTTTCACTACTAAATGATTATCTCTGACTTAACTTAAACTTAAAATTGTATAGATTGTTAATTTATTATACAAAAATTTTTTTAGATGATAAATTATAATTTTTATGTCATTATTGCCTTGTTCAAAATAGTTATAACAATTAGTATATAACAGCGATGGCAAAGATTCTTGATATTCCAAGCCATTTTTAAAAATTTGAAATTTTTCGAGAGCCACAATTTAAATTACAAAGTATGAAATTTGTTTTACAGAAATTGTACTTGTTTCGGACATTTCAAAAATGTACAGAATAAAGGTATTAAATTTAAATATTAAAAATTAAACATATTTATTTTACTTATTTTGATTATTCTTTAAAATTTGATCAACAATTGGTAACACCACTTCTCAGTATTTCTTTCAAATGCTGGTTAGTTAATAAAAATCGGTGTTTGGATTTCACGAAGTGAAGTAAAATGATTTAAATAAGTACGTTATCCCGAATATCGAAATAATTCGACTAAAAAATCAAGAGACGATTTAAAATATTTGAAGTCTTGAAATATATTTTGGAATTTCATTGGAATATCCCTTCTAGCTTTTTATATACTCGTTTGGCGAATGAGAATGAAACGCTTCGACCATCTTCCGACAGGGTCAAATAATGAGCATAACCAAGTCATGAGGCACCATCTCTTCACGTAATAGTCATGCGATCCGATTCACTCTCAAATTTAAATTCAAAGCTGCAGATGACCCGAACTAAATTCTGCGATACCCTTCACAATGAAATCAATCCAGCAACCATCTGGTTAAGGTTTAATGTCAGGGCAAAGAATATAGACGCATATAGAAGGATCTTTCACTGTCATTTTTTAGTCTTGACAAAGGTTATACACATGTCACAAAAAAAGCAGAAGTTGATCAAGATTTTAGTTCCTTATTTGTATCACTAAAGAGTGGTCATGTGCATCAAGAGTGCTTTTTAGCACATAAAGCAAAGAATTATTTTTTACAATTTGAAAATTCAAATAACGCTTCTCTAGACCTCAACAAAGGAAGATGAGGAAAAAGGCAAAAATGGCTGCTGGGACATGGACCATAGCAAATCCTAAGAAATCCAAATCAGCAACATCCGAGGATAAAAAGAGACTTCGGGAGAATACCATCACCCCGCTCGCAACAGAATTGCTAAGAAATCAAGGGGCCTTAACGAGCAGACTAGGTCATAAAGCACCGTGACAAAAGTATTCAGAATGGCACACAGACACCATCCTGATACTCAACTAGATCGGGCTCAAGCAAATTTGATCATTACCAAACTGGAGCAAGCACTTGATGAGGCTTCTATCATAGTTCAGAATGAACTACTGCAATTTCCACAAAACATTGTTTGGCAAAGGGACCCTGTGAACTGTGTTAATGAGTTTACAAAAAAATGGACGACTGAAGTGGTGAAGACTATGGAAAGCCCGTGGGAGGGAGCAAATTAAATATAGTTGATCCAAATAATATGCCCAAGCACCCCATGGTCCTTACCCGCGTCCCTGAGAAAGAGCTTGATGAAGAAACCACCGGGGCCCTAAAAAGGCAAAATCAAGACCTTAAGACAGATGACTGGTTGTTATCTCTGTTTCATGGACTTAACGACAGTAAAGATAAAGGTTAAAGATAGTTCTCGGATCAGAATACCTCCCATATGATGATCCCGAACAACCATCAAGGGAGTTGGAACAGCTAGCGAGAGATTGCATCTGCAATTAATCATTCGGTATGCGGTATACACGAATGCGTACCATCTGACATGGGCAGTACAAACACCAAACAGTTAAAAAATGGCATGTCTTGTTCAGACCCCCGGGACAGGCAATGAGCATATCAAGTAAACTTATCGTAATTCTCGTAAAACAAATTGGGAAGCATATCAAGCAGACCTGTAATATTGTTTAGGTAATATTAAAGGGATGATAAGACATACATTGAACGTAGGCATGCCCGCCGAACAATTTCAAGAGGTTTTCATGTCAGCGTTTAAAGATAACTGTCTAGAGATAGTGAGAAATTTCAGCGGGAAAGTACCCTGGTGGAATGACACTCTTGCAAATTTAAAGACAAAAGTCAGACGAAAATTTAATTGCTCCAAAACATCAGATGAGTGGGGATTATCGCAAAGCATGTACTGAATATAAAAAAAAACTTGGAAGGACAAAAAGAGAATCACGAAGAAGGCATTGCTAGGAGATAGAACAGACTGTAATGTCAAGGCTCCATAAAGTTCTATTAAAAGATAAGTATTCCTGCGCTCCAAAATGAGTCAGGTGAATATGCTGTAAATTGTGAAGATACTTTGAAAGATCTTTTCAGGGTGCACTTTCCTGAGTCTCAAACAACACTGATACCACTAGACACATGACAGCAAAGTGGAATGGATATGATAACTTACGGTCATAGGTAAAATTGGCGTATTGCAAAACAAGTGGTGAACTAGGACAAAATCAAATGGGCAATAAACTAATTTGTACCGTATAAATTACCTGGTCCGGAGGGGATTTATCTAATTCTTGTACAGAAGGAAAATGACCTATACAAAAGAATAAATGACCTTATTTACATGTAATAAAAAAAATAAATACTTTTAATATTGAAAAGTTCATACCTTTTTAAGTTTTAAAATTAAAAATTAAACAATTTAATACATTAAAAATAAAGATTTTATTGTAAAAAAAAACAAAAAAGACAGTTTGCAAATCAATGGCATCGAAATTTTATTAAGCGTGGATGCAAAAGTTAAATAGCCCCCTTGGCACTTCTTTCCCACTTCACCCTAACTATATCTTTCATGATGGTTTTAAACCGACGGCCACGGTTTCTGTTTATGCAGACGGCCTCTTCAGGAGTGTTCAGAAGTATAATAACCGTTGAAATGTCCTGCTATATGCGTCTATATACTTGGATAAGGGTTTTCAGGTCGCACAAGCACCCCTAACACGAACATTTACGTAGCCTGGACCGACGACTTTACGTACCCTCCGAAGCATGGTGGCGGCTTAGTTAAATTAGAAATTGATAAATTTCTGCTGTCAGAGTTGGGAATCGCATCCGGGTCCGCCAGTTTGGTAAGCCAGTATCATAACCACTGAGCACAACTCCCATATTTTTTTTAAACTCCAAAACTACTTTTATAATAGACCAATTTGGAAATAAAAATCATGACAATTTCAAATTTTGATCAAAATTCTCACGAAAACAACATAATTTTGTTTTTTTTTGGGTATAATGAGTACTGGTTGCTCAATCAATAACTTACCTCATTTTAGACGGAATGCTCTTTTTTTGAGTACACTTAATAGTTCCGTGTTTTCGGATATACTCCAATTGAAAACTTTCTTCGGGCGTCAACTGAAGAGGCGTTGGACTATCACAGTTTGTGTAAGCTGATGCATCAGAATTTGGCGGGGGAAAAACTGGAATTTTCAGTTCCATAATGTCCTTTGTGCAAGCTCCGATTCCATTTTCCCATCTAGCGCCCGAACTGAGATTGATCTCATCACAAGTCGTCGTGTCAGAACTTAATATGCTAAACCATTTATGTTCATGTTCTTCGTCGTTTTCATGATTAGATTCTATCGAGTATTCATGTTTTATATCTGCTTTGAGTTCATTTAGGATTTCATTTTTTAATTCTTCCTAAAAAATAATTCACTACTTTAATTCAGTACTTCTTGAATTCATTGGCATTAGTATCAAAAATTAATTAGAAATATTCATAAAGTATTATGGAAATTAATATGAACATAAAAGAAAATTTGGTAAACGAAGAAAATAGTAAAAATGTTAGTATTAGTTTTGGGAATAGTATCCATCGTCAAAAATCAGAAGCGAATATGACTTTAGTTCAGAGTATTGCCTATAGTTAAGTATTAAAAATGTAGACACTAAATTCCAGGAAATGGTGATAACCATTCTGAGTTATTCTTGGTTCTCCAGTGGCGTACCAATTTTTTTTTGTAAGAGTGAGAGGTAGCGCTGACTGTATGTGAATCATTAATATACATTACATGTTACATTATCTATAATCACAACCTAGCAACAGTGTTGCCGTTAAAACTCAATTATCATGTCTCAGAAATTAAGGTCTACATTTTCCATATTCAACTATAGTATATCTATTGGAAATAAATAACAATTTTGATTGAAAATACATTACATTTGACGTTTAGATATCCACTTGAAAATTGTAGAATATGAAGTAATTTTTAGTGACGCTTCTTATAATAGAAATAAGATCAAGATATGTAAGGAAATTACAAAGCTACTCTCTAACACACTCACCATATAACAAGAATCAATTTCATCTAAAAAGTAAGAAGCCTAACAAATCATAACCTGTTATTTACTGGTCGTATGAGAGATAATTTAGGGAAATAAGATTTTTCTCGCGACAGAGACTCCTCCAGGCAAACGGCAGTTTTTTCTGAGTAGTGTGGACTATATACAAGATCTATAACAAGAACCTATATGTTCTGCAGTCGATTTTTTGGAATTATTTGAAAGCATTTGAAACAAATTTGAAAACAAGAAACTTATGTCATATAAAACCTTTCCAAATGGCGTTTTTAAAAAGTATTTCTATCCTTATTTGTTGCTTATAAAATTGTAAAATAGGTAAGAAATTTCGTTTTTTATAAATGTTAATACCTGTTTTAGAAACTAACTTAAAACCCTAATATTCAATGTACTTTTGAGTCTTCTAGTGCTTAAAATATGGTCAATATTTCTAGTATGTAGGCTTTAAAGACTGTTTCTTCTTCAATATTCGCCTCCGATTCGTCCATTTTGTGACTTATCTCGTGCTATTCGTACTATTCTATCCTCTGCGATTCTACTGATATGTTCGTTCCATTCCTGTTTTCGTTTTCTCACCCATCCATTCATGTCTTCTATATTGCATGCTCTTCTTATGTTTTCGCTTCTCTCCCTATCCAACAGACTTCTCCCTGATATTCGTCGGAGTATTTTCATCTCTGTTGTTTCTAGCAGTCATCTCGTTTTAGATGTGTCAGGTCTTATCTCCGCAGTGTATGTTAATATAGGTCTAATTGTTGCTTTATAGATTCTTGTTTTTGCGTCTTGTCTTCCAGATTGTGTCATTAAGAGAACACGCCGCTTTACTTGCTTTTAAGCTTTGTTGTCGTACTTCTTCTTCAACATCTGCGTAACCAGTTATATCTATTCCCAGATGTCTAAACCTTGCTTCCTGCTTTATTACTTTCCCATCAATTTCGATTTTATTTTATTAAAACAAAATTTAAGAACAATTTTAAATTTTATTTTAAATAACTTTTTAACCATTACCTGCAAGTAAATTATTATCTCATATTTGAAAAGCTTGCATCTTTTGAATTCGAATTTAACAAAAAAAAAGGTTGTCCAAATATGAACAAATAATTTTTCTGCAGGCAATTGTTAAAAAAATATTCTCATTGTTGAGAATTCTCATATTCTCAAATTCTCTCTTCGTCTCATCATCATCATCATCTTGGTGCTACAGACCTTAGAGGGCCTCGACCTTCTCAAGCTTTCTACGCCATTCTGTTCTGTCCCTTGCTTGAATTTTCCAGTTGCCGACTCCGATCTTCTCCGCATCTTGTGTTACCCCATCCATCCACCTCAGCTTTGGTCTACCCCGCCGTCTCATTCCCACAGGTTGCGCTGTTAGAATCTTTTTTATCATGTTCGATTCAGGGGCCCGGGCTACATGTCCTGCCCACTGCAGGCGGTTTCGCTTAATTATAGTGGTAATATCTTTACCACCAAACGTATGCTTGTAGATATTCTGCAGTTCGAAGTTATATCTACGCCTCCATATTCCGTTCTCACAGACCGCTCCAAATATCTTGCGTAGCACCTTTCTTTCAAAAATGGATAGAGCGGATTCATCTGTTTTCGTTAGCGTCCATGCCTCTGATCCATATGTGAGAATGGGGACTATCAGTGTTCTATACAGCCTTATACGAGTTTTTTGAGACAGACGTTTGTTAGCTAAGTACTTTGATAGACCATAATAACACCTCTTCGTCTCATATTCTCAAAAAATTGACATGTTTTTGCAAAATAATTTTGCAATATTTAAAATTGTTTTTCTTTATTTTTTTAATAACATTGATAGAATAAATCTTCTTCTTTCATAAACCATCCGTAGAATTACTATAACTGAAAATATAGCCACATTTTAAGCACGACAAGACCAAAACTCAAAAGAGTTTTACTCAAAGAGTAAAACTATCAGACAAAAACAAATTGCCTCAAGGATATTGTTCGAAGATTAGGAATTTTTTATGTACTAATACATTTAGACAAATAAATTTTTGGTATTAAACTTGATACACTATTCCTGGATACTGCCGTTAAAAATAATTTTTGAAAGGAATCTATACCAATATTTTATTAACAAATATTCCAATGAACATACAAAAAGTAAAAGCTAAAATATTTGATTTTGGTCACCAAAACTAAAAAAAAAATCAAATTAAGATTCTTACCTTTACTTCAGCTTTTACTTCCATTTTTAAATCCTCCTCAGTCTTATTCTCACGTTCTACACATTGGCCAAGCCTCTCGAATAGACTAAATGGCTTATTACTAAAATTGTCATACTCCTCTGTAGTATTATTAAATTCTTCGTTACTTTCAGTTGTTTCTATATCACTATTTGTGGTTTTTTCGGCGTTATCTCCAATTTCATCTGCGTTCTTATTAACATCTTTTACATTTGGTTCGGATTTGATATTTACATCTCCGTTTTCAAAGATTCTATTTAGTTTTTGTCTATCTTCTTCTTCGCCTTCCTTCGCCAATCTAGAATCGTTATCATCTTCACTTCCCGCCATTATTCTATTAATCTCTTCATCTATACCCATATCATCCTCCTCTTCCTTTTGACTCAAATTATCGAAATCGCTTAAACCTTGAACACCATCACTGCCAAGTTCAGAATTATCTGGACACACTTGCTCTTTCGCTTTATCTGGATCCGCGCTTTCTACTGCTTCTACGAATATACCTCCTGCTTTGGGCAGCGACCAGTATCTTCGATAGTATCTATCTTGACCGTAGCAAATAGCTCGCAATTGTAAACTTGCTGCCTTTAGAGTACTGAAGTGAATTTCAGATGTTTTTATGAATTTTTCAAGTTTCTTTCCTAGTTCTTCAGGAGATAATTTGTTATCTTCCTCCTAAAAATTTATTATACATTAAATAAGTTATTGTGTTCAAAAGTTTTATAACAATAAAATTTACACTACAGTATAGTTAGAGCTTGTAATTCTTCTTTGAAGAAGAATAGTTCTAGGATGAGCTGTACATAGAAAACTGCGATTAGTTTGTAAAAGGGAACTTCCCATATGTCTAAAGAGAAAAGTGGTTGCATTTCAATGTGTTCTATCGATGTACAGAGCAATACTTAAAAAATAACATACGTAGGCCCCTGAAAGGTTACGAAAATGCTGGTTTGAAAGACAGTATTAGAAGAAGATATCTTACGAATTTATCATAAACCAAACATGTTACTATTGTGTAAACTTGAAAGTTAAATTAATAGTTTTTTAAGTTACAATACATCATTTTAATCATATATTTGTGACCTAAACATTCAAAATGACAGACATATTCTGTTTTGTAAAATTATTTTAAATGAGATTATATGGTCAGCAAAACATTATTTATTAGCAATTACCACATTTTGGGGCGAGGGAATTGCACAGAAATCTAGTACATGCCGAGCAACAAAAAAGTTTTCAAAATGTAGTATTACTTGCCATATGATCTCATTTCAAATAATTTTACAAAATTTGGTCAGTTACTGATCTGTTTTCCAGAACCTACATTAATTATCCTAATTTCTCTTCAATGATCTCAGTTAATATCAATTTTAGTTAAGATTAAGTATATTAGTCAAGAAATAACTGAACACACACATGTACGTGGTGTGCAGATGAGACTCACAAACTTAAATTAAATAGAGACTCTACGACTATAACAATATTGTATACTACTTTTTATTTATTTTAATTTTTCTATTATTATTGTTAATATTTACCTCTTCTGGTTGAGTTCCAACGCTTTCGTTTTCACTTAACTCATTATCTTCCTCATCTAGTAAATCATCTTTGTTTAACGAGGGAGAATCTGCTAATGGTTCTTCATCAAATCGCAGATGGGACTTTTCTATGCTTTCAGTTCTAATTTTCTTATTATGGAGTAGCGTTAACCTAAAATAATGTCAAAAATAGATATTCAAAAATTATTCAGTATTATTCCAGTAAAAAAACAATTTTAATCAAAAATTTATTTGATCAATAACTGATTTACCATTAGAAGATTTTTTTTCATTATTATTCGTATTTTACATTGAAAGATAGATGAAATCTTACATAGATAAGAAATTTCCAAAAAAAAAATTAAAGTTTGGGTAGGTATTTTGGAAAACCACATAATTGGGCCTGTTTTTATCAATACTAACTTAACCGGTGAAGTGTATCTGGAGTTGTTACAAAATGCAATTGAACCGTTAATACTTGTAATTCTGGAGGACAATCCAGATGAATTCGGCAACTTTGAAATAACGTTTCAACAAGATGGTGCTCATGCACACCATTATGGTGCAGTAAGACGTTACCTAAATGAGGAATATCGTGGTAGATGGATTGGACGGCGAGGTACGATAGAATGGCCAGGTCGATCACCGGACCTCACACCATTAGATTTTTTTCTGTGGGGATACTTGAAACCTAAAGTTTACGCTACAGCACCCGACAATATTAACATTTTGAAACAACGAATTGTTGAAGAATGTAGGGCAATTTCCCCCGAAACATTTTAACGAGTACGGCAAGAGTTTAAAAATAGGATGCATTACGGTCAGAAATTAGATGGAGCACATTTTGAACACTTACTATAAGAACTGGTTTTTAAATATTTATTAATTAAATGAGAAGTTACAGTTTTATTATTTATTTGATTTATTCATCAAAATGAGCTAACTCAAACAAAATTATTATGACTGAATAGGTATTTTCAATACCTTTCAAACGAGGTATTACTTGCCATAAAGTCCCATTTAAAACTATCTGTAACAGTGGCGCTCTAACGTCATCTGTCACTATTACGTCACCTGTTATGACTAGTTAAGAAGCCTACGTCTGTTTATTACTTCTATCCAAATTTCACTATTATAACAATAACCGTTCAAAATATACGAGTGGGGAACGGACTTTTAACTAGCACGGTATGATCTATTAGATAGCACATTATTATTCACTTTTAATATTTTCTTTATAGACACAGCGTCAAAAAAATTGGGCCCCTAAAATTTCTCAGAAAATAAAAAAATACTTTATTTTTTTACCAAGATATTCATATATTTTTATGCGCAAAAAATGGGGAAATTAAGTGGTAAAAATAACTAAACAAGGTCTCAAAAAAACCCCTATTCGTGAGGTATAAATTGAACAGTCTTGGGATCGAGAGATAGCATTATCAATCACTTTTTGAGGAAAATTTTCCCACTCTTCCTATATCGCGATAGTCAGTTCATTAAGGGTGATCGGTGGGTTTGGTCTTCTAAATATGCCTCGTGAAATCATATCCCACACGTGCTCAGTTGGATTTAAGTCCGGCGAGTTTGCCGGCCAATTGATTCTATCGACATTGGATGCAGTCAACACATTTTCAATACTTTTAGTGCGATATGGGTGAGCGTTTTTATCCATAAAGATAACATTTTTCGAGTAAATGATTCCGTCAGTGTCTCTCGTATGTGAATAAGTGGAGTGTGAAAACCATGCGCAATGTCCTTGAATACATCACTGTACCTCCTTGATAAAAGCAAAGAATATAGACGCATATAGAAGGACATTACAAACGGGTGATTTTAAATGGAATCAAAAGATATAGTTAGGGGGAAGTAGGAAAGCAGTATAAACGGAGCTATTTCACTTATGCATCCACGCTTAATAAAATTTCGATCCTATTGATTTGCAAACTGGTTTTTTCACAATAAAATCTTTATTTTTAATATATTAAATTGTTAAATTTTTAATTTTAAAAACTCAAAAGGAATGACATTTTCAATATTTTAAACTTTTTAGACTATTCTAGAAATTATTTCAATTGTATTTTAATCGAAACACCTTACAATTTTTTGAGCTTTCTCTCCTAGTAATTGACTTTTAATTAACTTTATTTATGGTTATTATTATTTAAATATAGTTATAATATTTTTTTCTAAAAAGATTCAGTTATTAAAAGTTAAAATAATATTTTATTTTCTTAAAAAAAATTAAATAAGATGCATAAGTAGGATTTGATCTCTTATTTTATAAAATGCAAACATTTAATGCTATTCTACGTTCACGCGGCATAGACATAAGAAAATATCTGAAGTTGCATTTGTTGCCGCACTATTTCATATTTTACAAGCAGTAATAGCGGTGAGATGACCACTCGCTAGTGGTACAATAAGGAAATAATTTTACCCTTAAAAAAGGCAGTGAAAGATCCTTCTGTATGCGTCTATATTCTTTGATAAAAGGCCACATCTCTATGAAAGGCTAAACGTGCTGCACGTCCTGGTCCTCTTCTTCATACTCTTATATGGCAGCTCTCACTTTTCAATCCTAATTGGGACTCATCCGAAAAAATTTCTTTAGGTAGAGGTAAAAGCCCGTTGTGATTACGACACCATGCTAAACAACCAGCTCTATGTTCTCTAGCGCCTTAAGCACCATACAAAGTGTTCTGTATGACAAATTAGCACGAACCAGCCTTCTCCGATTTGTAGACCTTGAAATAAGCTGTACGAAATGACGTCTACTGTACCTTCTTCTGAAATGCGGTCTGACCGCTGACAGTGACATTCCGATTATGTCGAACAAAATTGGCTACATATCGATTTGCTACATATCTCTTTCATTTGTCACCCGAAGGCATCCACTCCCAGGTCTTTTATTCACACTTCCAGTTTCTTCAAACAATTGCACTATTCTGATAACAGAAGTTCTAGGAATGTCAAGCCTTACTGAAGTCATATGATTTAACCAGTTGTGTTGATGTAGAGCGGCTATTCTGGCTTTATCAAAACGGGAAATTGGATAGAAACAAAAATTTTACCTTGACCTTAAAAATAAAACGTTTTTGGCGTTTTTGTTTCATTTAAATACCGGATAAAGACGGGTTTTTTTATAAGAGATCATTTTTGTAAAAGAATTATTTTCATATTAGATTTGGTTTTATACAGAAAGTCAGAGTTAATTGGCGCTGTGTGTACTTAATGCATCTATTAAAAAAACACTTCAGATATAGAACCGATAGAACATAAATATCAAGTATATAAAACATAAATTATATTAAATACTCACTTTCTGATTTTCATGTCGAGTAACCATTTTTCTTTTTTCTGTTGTATCACAGTTTCCAAAGAATTTTCGATCTGCCTGATAACAGCCTTGTTCTGAAGCAATTCATTACAAATATATGCTAGAATTTCAGCCTTAGTTGTGGGACAAAGGCTCATAAATGGTCGGTTTTTCAACAAATCTGATAATTTGTATGTCTGATTTCCGTGTAATAATTCATAATACTGCGCGTTCTTTCCCGTCTGGGTTATAATCATTTCGTCTTCAAGTTGATGATGATCTGCAATTCTCTTTTCACGTTCTCTTTCGAAATGAATTCCAGTTAAAGCCTTAATTTCTCCAGTTGCATTGGCGTACAAATATATCCTTAGAATTTCCGATATATTCGAAGGAGTTATATCAGCTTGTCTCAAACTTTGACCTAGATTTGTTGTATATCTTGCTGGATTAGGTATTCCCGGATCCTCAATAGCGCAAACTAGTAGATGAGTCATTATCGAAAATAGTTCGTCTTCGTATTCCGTCGACATTTTACTAGGTAGTAAAGCATGCTGAAGAGAATTTAAAGTAGGAAGAGATTCCATATCAAAACCTAGAGTTTCTCCGAAATTGTGCAAAAATTCGAATACCATCAGGAGATCACCGAATGCTTTCGCCGACAATTTCAGACCAGGTATTCGTTCATATTCTGGTAAAAACGTCTGATCAATTTCCAGATCTTCACATGGTTTTCTAATTTCAGACAGGATTTCCAATTCTTGTTTTCTTTGCTCAAGTTTCTTTTCCTTGTTTGCTTGCTTTTCCGCGAGAAGCTGCTGTTTTTTACGTTCCCTTGCTTCCAGTTTACGTCTACTTTCCAACGTTTTTATGAGTATCATGTGCTGACGTTTTCTCTCTCGTTCCTACAATAATTATATAAAGATTGTATTAGTTTTTAAATTTAAATATTCTCTAAATAAATATATCAATAATGTCTAACCAACAAATTTTTTTCTCATATGTACATTAATTTTGATCGGATTTTAAAAAGTGTAATATCGTTATATTGTCTGACTAGTCAGCAATGAATTAATCTTAATTTCGGTGTAATATGATTTGTCTATGATGAAACAATCAAACAAAAGTTAAGAAGTGCATTAATTTAATGAAAATTTTAAACATACAAATCAATATACGAGGGTGGATTGATATAAAACGAGCCTTTGATAGAAAAAACAAGTTTTTTGGAATTAAATCGATTTATTTCTTAACATAGTCCCTTTTTAGCTCGACACCTAGTAATACGATGTTCCAATGTTTTTATCCCATCCGAATAGTACTTTTGCTCGAGTTCTTCAAAATAGACTGACAAGTTTCATCGACGACTTCATCATTGAAGTGGGTGTTCAACCAATTCATTGCCCAAATCGTGTAATTTTGCCATGACGACGGCCGATCGGTGAGCCGGTGAATTGTCTTGGTGAAAGAGCACTTTTTTGCGTTCCAAACTGGGTCGTTTCGACGTAATTCGGCATCGAATCGATCCAATAATGCTGCGTAGTACTCACCATTGATTGTTCTTTTTCCAAGTAGTCGATGTGGATGATGCCCTTCGCATCCCAGAAAAGAGTCGCCATCACTTTGCCGGCCGAATGTGCACTCTTTGACTTCTTCGACGGCCCTTCGCCGCGTTTGCGCCACTGTTTCGACTGTTATTTGGTTTCCGGTGTGTAATAATGCACCCAGATTTCATCAACGGTGATAAATCGGCGAAAAAAATCCTTCGGATCGCGCCGTATCATCTCCAAAAGCGTCTCCGACGTGGTCACACGTTTTTGCATTTGATCGATTGTCAGCAGACGCGGCCCCCATCGCGCGGATTGCTTTTTCATGTCCAAATGATAGTGAATGTTTTTTACGCGTTCGTACGAAATGTTTAGGACCTCTATTAACTCCCGGAGCTTAATTCGACGATCTGCCATGTTCATGTCATGGACTTTGTTGATAATTTCCGGCGTGGTGACTTCATTTGGCCTCCCGGAACGTTCATCATCAAAAACACTCGTACGGCCACGAACAAATTCAGCTTTCCAAAATTTTACTGTTGCTAACGAATGTGCAACTTCACCATAAACTTCGTCCAGGTCGGCTTTGATTTGCACATTCATTTTACCCCTTTTGTGGAGGAACTTAATCACTGAACGATACTCGACTTTTTCCATTTCTCCGAAAACACAACATTTGCTTGCTTTTGACGGCTGTAAAATCCAAACTAATTGTTTTTAAAACTTAAAATTTTGACAAACGCCATGTCATGAATGGCAAATGTCAACACCGAAACCAATTCGGTATCAAGTAGCGCCATCTATCAAAGGCTAGTTTAATATCAATCTATCCTCGTACAACATAAGTATAAAATAAAAGTATTTAATAATCTGTGTTTCCTCCAGCAGCATTAATTACAGCTTGACTCCGACTTGCCATGCTTAAAATTAAATTATCAATTTCTTTTTGAGGCCATAGCATCCATTTTTGTGTAGTAAACCTGTTATGTTTACCATTACAGTTTCTTAAACTACGTTTTCTCAAACATTTAATAATAATCCTTGTATCGACATGTAAGTGATATTTATTTATTTAATTTCAATTTTACTAGATTGTTTTTTCACCTAAGATTTATTTTGTTTTATTTAATCAATATTAAAGTCATGTATAACAATCATATATCATCTATAATTAAGTATGGTACAGAATATACATCAATAATTGCTGTATATTCTGTACCAGAGAGCACCCTAATACGGGTTATTATATTTTCAGCATTTAGTTTACCATGTACCTTAAGACCTGAAGATGCATAGCAAATTATAGTATGCGAAACCGGTCGTTGGTGGTAGAATAAATTGATTGTGAGTAAGTCTTATCCTTATGTCTTTTTACCTATTTGAAATGGACTCACACAGGCAACATATTCAAGATTTTAAAAGTATCTAGTTCGGTGCCCGATCTGTATTTCAACTGTTTACTTAAATTATCTCGAATAATATCTCAAATTTTAAGACTCAGATCTAGGAAGACAGATTTCATTATATAGGAGGTAGTTTTAAGCTGTATTTTATAGAATGCAACAAAAATTGCGGAAGTAGATTAATAGTATAAATAAATCAAAATATGTGTTTAATTCGCATTGGTTTTTTATTAAATACTTTTGTTGAAAAAATAATTACCTGTTCTTTAAGAAGGGTGGCTTGCTGCTTTTTTAGTTCTTTATCCTAAAAACGATAAGACTATATTAGTCTAAATGTTTCAAATCATTAAAAAAATGTTTTTTAGGACGAATTAAGCTTTCACATACTGCAGAAAGTCAAGTGAATAATTTGTATGAAATAAATTAAACATCAAATCACACACTGGTAATAAATTGCAAGGCAAAACAGATGATGAAAAATGATTTAAAAAAGACATGGGGTATCTAAAAGTTGCATTCCACAACATATCTTCTCATATAAGCAAAAATCCTTGGTAAACAGGTTTCTTGTATTTATAAAGAGTAACCGAAATAAAACAAGAGACAGTTAAGATTTGATTTCACGTATAGTGCCTCTGTATATTCGCTTATACGTATTTCATCCTACCAGGATTTATCAAATCAACTGGTAAAGAAGCTCTAAAAGTGAAATCAAATCTTTTCCGGAATATGTTTCGTTTGCGTATTGTGTTATGTAGATAAATATGGCCATGTTCTTTTTACAAGTATGGTTTCACGTGTATTTTGTCTTCTGTAGACCTTTAAATGGTTCAATTGTGTTTATCGTTACCACCTTTATCGTAATCTCAATAATGAGTGATTGAGCATCGATTAATATCTCTAAATTATAACAATGATCTTATATTAATATTGCCAATATATTTGGTAAATTAAAATTGACGATCCTGTTACATTAAACAACATTAAAATTTGGAGAAAAACTAAAGAATATGTTGAAGTAGAGGTAAACGTAGAAAACGCTCAAGAACGGCTGTAGAGAGCTGTAGTTAGCACTAAAATCAAATTGGAAGAAGTTCCTCTAACTTAAGACTTAAAGTAGCTGATTTGAAGTCAAAAATCCACAAAATTTGTCCCAGACATGGTAACTATGTGATAGTTGTGTAGCTACTTTTTTTTATTTATTTATTTTTTATTATTTTTTTTTATTGAGAATGCGTCGACAACTAATGTTCATTGGCATGGTACAGTGAATTTTTATAGTCAGGTGTGTAGTGTGTGTGTATGTGTGTAGAGTAATTGCCTTGATACTTAGCAAAGTCGACGTCATTGTCTTTGCTAAGAGACGCTAATTGTATCCGAACGTCTGCGGTCCCGCCAGTGAGTACCGATCGTACAAGGATAGAAATTATTTTCATTTATTAATTTTTAATAAACGAAAATTTCCACCCAGGTGGGATTCGAACTCACGACCTTTAGGTTCAAAGGTAGGCGCTCTTACCACTGAGCCACAGAGGGGGTAGCTACTTTTTAAATCATGTGGAAATAAAAACTATTAATTGGCCTGAATGTTTGAACACCTCTGGGACATACCAGGGAGAAAATTAAGAATTCAATAATTAGCGCTATTCAAAAGACGGGTGATCGTAGGAACACACGTTTTAAAAAAAAAACTGTAATTTTGGTTAACTGTTCAATGTTCAACATTTCGTAATATACATTTGGTTTTTTTACAAATACAATCTTTTGTATTTAAACAGCTTTAAAACAGTTTTAATAATACAAGTTATTGTATTTCATTACCTCTATCATTGGTGGATGTTTAATTTCCTTTTCGAATTTGATTTGTTCTTGCCTCTCAAAATATTCGTTCTCTTGCGCATGCGCTAACTTAGTCTGCTCTTTGTCTTGTCGTGCTGCTTCTCTAGCTGCTTGCTGCTTTCTTGCCAACTCGATTCTCTGTTCCACTGGAATACTTGTCCTCATTGAAAATGAAAATTCTTCAAGCCTACATAGTAAAAAAAGGAAATAAATAAAATAAAGAGAATGCGATTAGGATGTGGAATTCCTCTTTTATGTAAAAATATATTAGTAACTATATATTATTTTAAATTAGTAAATACATGTAAGGACATATGGGCATATAATTAAATTAAATAACCAACATTAAGTTTTTCCTTTGAAGAAAAAAATGATCCATTTGAAATATGAAGGAGACGCCAAATCTATTTTTTAATAACAAAATAACTCTAGTTTTTTCAATAGATTTATAAATTTAACTGATACTAAATTCTGTAATAGCGAGATACAACTTTTAGAGAAAGGCTTTAAAGGCAACATGACAATAAAAAAAAACTTATATTTAGGTGTAGAATGTGAAAGTAGCGTTAAACAAAACTACTAATAACATAGAAAGAAATGTCAATAACATAGATAAAAGTCCTGTTACAAATAGTTCCAGACACTCATTTCAATTAAAAATACAATCATTACATCTGTAATTTTACATTTCTTGAAATTTGCATAAATGAAGACTACTTTAGGATCATCTAGAAACAAAGATTTGAAAACATCCCGTATTCAAACAATTTTTATATTGTTGGAGATATACTGGTATGAATTACAGGAACTAACAAGCAACTTGACCAATTCTTATCTTACATTAATTCACTCCATAGTCATATTGAATTCACAACAGAAGTAGAACAGAATAGAATTTCTGAATTTAAAAATTATCAGACTTAAAAACAAACATGAGTTCTCCGCCCTACCCACTACTTCACCCCTACTTAACCTGTCCACTCACTCCGCTATACACAATTCACAATCCCATCCTACACAACATAAATTGGCAGCATCCTACACAACATAAATATGTCACATAGATTAAGAAAGCTCTGGAATTAGTCTTCCTACCACCAGAAAAAGACACCTTTTTTTCGATTACATATACAGGCGTGATATCAACAAAAATAGCCGAACACACAAAAAGAAAGGAATAACACCAACTTTCAGAACAAACAACAATTTAAGCACATATACTAAGAACAACAACAGCCAAAAGAAAAGGCACTTAAACAGTGGTGTATACAAACTTACTGCCCAAAAACTTACATCGGTCAAACTGGTAGAACCTTAAACAAACGTATAGTAGACCAGGCTTTCAATAATAGAAAAACAGATTCTAAGTACGCACTTTATCTTCTAGATCATATTCACTCTTATAATGACCAATTTAAAATTCTCCATATTAAAAATAAAGGCCTTAATGTATCTTTACTAGAATCTATTGTTAGGTAATTCGAAAAATATATAAATGACAATGGACTTGAGTAATTTGAGCTAGCATATCCATTTCACATGTTAGAAAACAGCATCGTAACATTCCTCTAAAAATTCTATAAAATCTATAAAAACGCCCAATACTGACCTTCTGTTCATGTCTTCTTCTGTAAGTCGAATACATTCATTGCCTTCCAACTGAATTTCTGTAGGGACAGGTTGTAGGTAATCGCCTAATATTATCCTACAGCTGAAGGTAAAATTTTCTTTTGAAAGTTCCAGACATTTTTGGTATTCCAAATACTAGACAAACAACATGAAAATTAGAAAAAAATGAACATTTACACTATAAACCTTGTTAACATTTTAAAGTCACCGTTTTTTATGCAGCCTAATATAAGAACAAATTAAAATATATGACCGATTCATTTACGAATTATAAACAATCACAAAATTAATTAAAGTCTCCAAAAACAAACTTTGGAACAGAATATACAAAACAAGTCAATTTGCAAGAACTCACCTGTGAAATATCTGACATTTGTTTAAATTTATTCGAGGAATCTGGTGCTGTATATGTAACATCTCCCTTTAGATTTCCGTTTTTTGTTAAACCTCTAATAATCGTTTCTCTTTTCCAACCTAAGAAAGTTAAACAAAAATCAGTAAATTAAATGGCAAACTAAAGAAAACACTGGAAGAAAGAAGACTGAAAGAAGATATTGTTGAAGAACACCTCATTTATGCAAACAAAAGGCTAACAAAATTATGCCAACAAAAGGTTAACAAAGGCTAACCAACGTGTAATAGTACCGAAGTTATATAAAGTGCTAAAGTGATAAAAAAGGTTAATATAACGTTTCCTTTCAAAGGTCGATTCTAATAAATTTTATTTAATAAGCACAGACACAGCCACCTTTACTTCCAAGCCATGAAGTAGAAATTTGGCAACAACGCGTGGTAGTCCGACCGTGGTTTGTTTTGTTTCACATTTCATATAGGAAGGCTTGTAAAGTTTGTTGAATTTAGTGTTTTTTTAACTTTATTCGAATGTTTTATTTGTAAATTGTGTTTAAATCAATTAGAAAATATTAATATAAGTGAAATTTCATTAAATTTAGAACTTTTAGAAGATTCTTAACGACAATTTAAAAGGCAAGTATAAATATAACCTACAAAACAAACTGAAAATAATAATACCACAGGATAGATAGTTGTTATTTATACTGTGATAATACTTTTGCTTCTTGTTACAAAATATGTAAACTAAAAACAACAATAATAATACTTTTGTTTTTTGTTACAGATGCTCTGGCATTGTTGTGTACCTGGTTGCAAAACCAATTATGCCAGTACTTTAAAAACGAAACAGGCAGAAAAAACGTTTTCGTTTCCAAAGATCCCCAAAGAAGGTATACTGGGCTTTGTTCTATTCATAGAGAAGGCTATACAATTACCAAATCTTCCGTAGTATGTGCCAAACATTTTCATGAAGATGATATTCAGCAGACTGAACAATGAGAAGATAAAGATGGAAATGTACACATTGAAAAGTTAATATTTCCCAAATTAAAATGCAATGCAGTTCCTAATATATTTCCTGAAGTACCATCATATATAACTGTTCATCGTACTAAAGAAAGAAGGAATCCCGAAGACAGAAGAAACTTTTTGCATAAGAAGAGGGAACAATAGATAACATAATTATGATAATTAGACTTAGACAATAATATCCCATTGAAAAACTGGACAAGTAAAATTACAAGTGACTGTGTATATTTCTATTGTATTAAACATTAATCAGTTGGGACACAAGTGTGATAATATTTGTGTAATACGTAGTGTCATAGTTAGCAGTAGTTTTAGTGTAATCGTCAATGTAGGTAAGAATAGATTAAGTAGTAATGATTTGAAATGGATTTTACAATATAGTAAATTAACAAGATGGTCACAATTAGAGAACTTACTTTCTCATTTAGATCTGCTTTTTAGATAAGTGATAACAAATTTGAGTATTACATTTAAAAATCTTTTGAGAATATAGGCTATTTTACATCGATATACAAGTTATAAATGGTATGTTACATTCAACACATTTTTCATGTATACCTCTTTTAACTTAGTCTATATGACAAAACACCTATTCATATTTAAAATTGCTACTTTCGTATACCTAACTATGAAAATTCAACAAAAGTTATAAGTAAATAGTAAATTATTTAATTGTCAATTAGATTAATTTAGAACCATATTTATATTGTGTCTGATTTCTTAGGATGAATTTTTTAACCATAATAGTTACACTAAGTTTTTACTTAACAAATTTTATATCTTTTGTATTTTTAATAATCTTTTTAAATGTTGCGTTAATCTATTGTGTTATTTATATGCTTAAGTACTTAATATTTAAAATTTCTAGAGATTCTTGACTGCATTTGATTGTAAGATTAACTGTTTGACACTGTATTTTAAGTGCAATAAATTTTACTCCAGTGATTATTTTATTGATAATATAACCTAAATAATAATAAAACTTTATATATATTTATTAGGTAAATATAAGGTTTTATTAATTTAATTTCCCTAAAAATATTTCTGTAATGAATTGAAGTTTTCAAAATATCAGTTTCCTAAAATTCAAATTAGTTTAATTTTCTGGTAGACCTTACAGCTGATTATCGGACTACCGACGTCATAGAATGCAGTGTTGCCTTTTTTACTTCATGGCTTGGAAGTAAAGGTGGCTGTGGCACAGATTATTTCGAAAATATAACTTTTTTCTTAAAGGCCAAATAGTAATCTTTTATTAATTGGAAAAAGTCTGTCATTTTTAACTGCTTTAAATTGTCCAGTATCATTCTAACATTCTATCATATTTGCTAAAGTAAAGATGTGAAACAGTTGTATTTATTGTAAAGAAGTTTATTGTAGGCGGTTAAGTTTATTGAGGGGTCGGTTAGTTTAAAAAGGTATTTATTTATAGTCACGTCCGGGCCAAAAACGTAGAAACCACGTTTTTCGATCTTATTTTCTCTTGTTGTAATCAAATTTGACATGTTATAGAGAGAAAGTTATAACAGAGAACTAAGTTGTCTGGTTATAGTTCCAATAAAAATTTCACGGGACACAAGTCACTCCACTTGCCCTGCTCTGCTCGTGCACAAATACAAGTGAATTTTTAGTTAAAGTGTGATTAGCGATTTATTACTATGAGTAAATCAAATTATAGTGAAATATGGACTTATTTTTCACCACTTTTCGATACTGAACGAGCTAAATGCAAGCTGTGTAATATTCGCAAAACATTCGCACAAATTTTGCGAATGCGAATGCAAATGCGAATATGCAAAAATATGCGAATATTCGCGAATGCGAATATTCGTTACATCACTAGTACATATAATGAAATTTTTCACTGTAAACGATAAAGCTGTATATGGTTAATAAGTTCCTAAGGAATTTAAACTTTTATTCAAATTACATTAGAGAATATTGAACTTTCCAAATTTTTAACATTTCAATATAAATGTAGTACATTAAAACAAAGATTGAATAAAATAATGTAACCCAATGTGAAAATTGTTAACATTTTCCTTACCTTTTTCTAGAGGAACTCTCAACAAACGTTCATCGTATTGCTTTTGTTTCTTTGCCACTACCTCTACCTCCATTTCAGAGTCAGTATGATTGGAATCGGTCAAATTATCAGAATCAGAGGCGTCTATTGTACTGGAGTCACTGAGTGCACCTTTAATTTTATCTTGAAGAAGCCTATTGAGCGCTTGCTCGTCACCAGTATCGGATAGATATTGCTGTGCGGCCATCAAGTTTGATTTCAGAACACTCATTTGTTGATTTATTGAGGCATTCGCATCTAGAAGTGGAACAGGTTTAATACCTAAGAAACATAATGTAAATGTAATACATTATTTCAATCTTGATACGGGAAATTTCGCCATCATAAAAACTCCATAGAACGCTACAGTCTTCACATTTCCTAATCATAAATGTGACATTAAAAAAGAGTGTAGCCCAAGCCAGTCTTGTCCCTGACGACCCGTTCAAATAAAGTTTTATGAAGGTGAAACCTTAATAGTTTCCCCCTATGACACCTTGAAAATAATCGACTTTGTAGATCACATCTAGTCTGTCCTGCTGTTTGCTATTTACAAACTAATTACATATATAATTACCTAATGCTCTACTCTGTGCCAATAACGACGCTACAGTATTCTTTTTTGGTTTACTAATTCCTCTTCCCAAGTTCCTAGGCCTTCCTTCCTTTTGACTATAACTCAGACCCGGAGATATTGGAGTACCGCTTGTAGATATTGTGGCGGAAGTCGTGCATGTTGAAGACGTCGAACTGCCTCCGTCAGAGCCTTCGTTTCTACTTGGTGGTCGTGGGGAGTCAACTGGGGAAAATAGGTGGGAATAAAAATTGCTTGAAGATGAAGACATTTGGTTTCCAGATGAAATGATCCGCCTTGGCTTGGGACCAGGTTTTCTTCGAGCTGGAAAACAATGTTGCATTCAATAATGTATAGAACTAAACTTATAAACTTAAAATAATACTTAAAGTTAAAGAAAGAAACTTAGGCAAAGAAAGTATTACAAATAACTCGATAACTCAACCACATCTTTGGCTATTGAAGTCAGAAATTTGTCAATTAGCAGAGAAAATTAATTAAACACTACTTACATATCCTGTCTGATCCGACACTTGATGAAATATTGCTCAATGATGCCAGTGAGTTGACACTAGAGTTATCCATAGTAGGTTTGACCGACAAATTTAACGGCGTTTCTCCTGTCGGTTCTGTGCCATCATAACTGGCAGTAATATCCGATATGTTTCCATTCGTAGCCCTTTTCTCCTCCGCTTTGTCTGTCGGTGGCGTAGAAGGAGGTGTAATATCTTGCCCCTATGAGATAAAATAATATTAACTTTATTAAAATACATTTCAATCGTTTTGGTTTGAACAAATTTCCGAACTCGTCAAAAATATTCATCGCCTCTACACTAAAGATCCTGAGTCTTTGAGTCTATGAGTTCTGAACCTTTAATATCCTCGAAGTTCTGTCCCTTAAGCAAGTGGTTAATACCAAGATTATGGGTAACAAGAATTCTTTATCGGTTATTATGTTGTATAACTTATTCTGCCCACGAAAATTTGAGATTGGTCAGAATAATAAAACTCCAATGGCTTCCACCCGAGTAGTAATATTCGTTCTCAAAGTTTCAAGTAGAGTTGAGTTAGTTTAGAAATTTCTTCATCTTGTGAAAGGCTGATCAAGTTTTTCAATTTGACCATGTTAAAATTTTGACGACAATAGATAAACATCGTGAAGTGATGTTCCACGCTGCAACACCTTGATCACATAATTCTTCTGTATCAACTCTGATTGCATAAGAGGAAACAGAGAAAACTCGATTGATGTAGGAAACATAGCTGCAAAATTTCTGAGATTGATTTCAATGTACACGAAATAAAAATTATCAAATGGTCAAAAGTATGACATTTAAATGAGCTTTCAGATTACCAGTTGTTCTATTTGAGGTTATTTTTGGTCAAGTTAACTTTACATCAGTAGAGATTGATGTCTAGACAGGAAATTGGAACTGCCTCGGAGGACCAGAACGAGCGATCAAACTCTCTAAAGTACCATTTTCGGGCAGTTCTGGGAAAGTGACAACAGAACCAGTTGTCAAAGAAATTAAGAGGAACGGCAGAATGATAGTAGGTACGGATAAAAAATATGCTGGAGTGGGGAGTAATTGTTTCGCTAGCCTCTGTATGATGATAGAAGTATATTCATCGGTGAGTACTCAGATTTGGAACATTCAGGTTCCACATATCGGTGTCGAGATTATGCAAGGAGGAAGAATTCGGTCTTCGATGGATTGCTATCCTGGTTTTCGCAAGAAACAAGTCGTTGTACGTTCTTGTGATGGGCTCATAGAGGTTATGCCTTCTTTCACTTCTGTTACTACTACTTTATGAATATCTTTTGCTTAGCTATAATTTTTAAATTTCGACCAATAATAAAGAATTTTTCTTAATAAAAACTAATTCGCCTTCATAGAAGCAGACATTTTGGTATATCTCTTTAGTTCAATACTGGCATAAAATATGTAAAAAAACAGGAAAACTTTTAAAGTTATATTTAAAACTTTACTGTAACAAAATACTTACATTTGAACTGCTTTTTTTAATCATTGCTTGCATAAGTCCTTCTGGGCCAAGCTGTGAAGGATGCAGACTGACGAACGGCGGATCAAGACTGATAGTCTTCTTTCTTCCTCGGTTTGTAGTGCCAGGTACTTTCGGTCCAACGATAGATGATGTGTACTTGATTATTTCCGTGTCAGGTGGTAACCTAACACCGCCCAAAATAGAATTAGGATCACTACAAAAATATGTAATGTTTCATGTTATAAAGTATTGCTTGCTATTTATAGTTTACTAAGTGGCTTGTTTCATAATATCTGGTATTTTTATAAATTTTAATAAAATGATAGAGATAGGTGCCATAAATTCGCTGACCAATAAACTTACGGAGGTTCGTATATTCTATCCAATGGTATAAATAATAATTATACAGGGTAAAGCAATAATTGTGAAACTTCGGCTTAAAAGGAAAATTCAATGAGGTTTTTGTTGAACTAAAAATTTGTTAAAAATTTAAGTTAAGAAAAAATACCACATTTAAGAATTTAATAAAATGTGGTATTTTTAAAAGCATTGAGTTACGATTTTACTTACAATGCAACGACTTACCTTGGAATAGTTTCAAGGAAAAATCGTTACATTATATACATGTCCTGATTTTCAAGAAGACTTAAAAATATTAGTACGGCCGTATTTTTTACAGTTTCTATATAAGGTTTATAATAATTTGTGGCACCTAAATAGAAGTTTTTCATTTGTTAGTACGCAAATAAATTAAATAACACTTAAACACACATGACCACCTGCAGTACATGCCTTGAAACAAACTACTTACCCTAAAACACCTGGCGGAAGATAACCCGAACTGTCCTGACCACCTTCCGAATTCTCTGATGAAATACTACTGTTAATACTGAAGGGACTGGCAAACATATTTGGAGATGAAGACGATGATTCTTTCACATTTGGACTTTCATTACTTGACAACATACTTTTCTGCCCTTTGTTGTAGGAGGTAGGATCATTATTGCTTGATTTAGGTTTAGAATGTTTATCGATAGATTTTGATGTTGGTTGGATGGTTAAACTTGAAGAAGTTTTGATACCACTGCGGGATGACTGTGAACTCGAGTGTAGATTAGCTAATGAGGCTTTCATTGGATCAGATATGCTGTTGAGATCTAGTTTGGATGGCAAGGACATCTTTGAATGGTCTTGTGACCTGTAAAGAATAATCATATTATTATTATCGATGTTATTGTTTCCAATAATATCAGAAGAGTTAATTTCAAATATATTAAGTGACAAAAAAGTAATATTTCACGAGAGAAATTTGAAAATTCATTAAATTGCAGTAACTAGAAAATATTCAAAATTTTAGTGAACAAAGAATGGAACATTTTCACACTTTTTTTCACCAATGTAGCAATTAATGAGTTTATAGAATAAAAAATGCGATATTTAGTTCAGTTTATACATTACCTACCGTAAAATTATTGATAATGTACCAATTAATTTACTGACAAATTACTACATTACATGATTAACTGCAACTTTTTATTTTTTTTAGATAATTTTAGTTTTTTCTAATACAAGAAGAAAAAAGGTATGATTTTTCGTGGGATAGCAGACATAATTTTCGTTTCTCTTTTAGTTACACATTTCGCGCAGCACTTTTTTCGTTACATTGGCGCCCAACGTGGGGCCAATCTTACAAAAAGTATGAGAAGGATTGCCTGCTTGGGTGTAATACTGGAATAAAAAGAATGGAAAACTTACATAAAAATGAAGAAAGTCTCACAAAAAACTGGTACTGTAATTTGTTTCACATTAACCTCGACAAAATTGTAATATTTTAAATAGAAATTAAAACTGAATATTAATTAAACTTACTTTTAAGTAGGAAGATTATTAGTGAGGAAATGACAAAAAGGAAATAAAGTCTACAAATTTGGCATAACTTACCGAAATTAGGTAAAAATAAACACATTTTTTCCCAAAATAACTTCTTTAACTTTCTGTCAACTTCAACAAAAAATATGATATACTTAAATAAAACTAAATTTTGGCCCTTTAATTACCTAATTTCGCCGAAACAATCTATAAATGACAAGTATAAGAAAGGTTAGCGATTGAAATCGATTAAATGTCAAGTTTAAACCGTTAAGCTACGATTTGTTAGAATAGTGCGCAGAGCACGCCATACAGGTATAGCAGAATCTGTTGTACTCGACTCACTGTAGTTTTGGGTGAGTCGGTTTATTAGATTAGTTCGCATACATATATTCTGTCGAGCTCAAAATAAATTTAGAAATTAGTTTCACGTTTGTTTTCTTAAAGGTTGTAGATTGTTGAATGGATGTAAGAAAATGGTATCTTTAATCATCGACATTATGCCTTCTTATCATATCTATACTTACTTATACTCACTTATATTAGTGAAATTTTTACTTGATAAAAAAGTATTTAATGTTTTGTGGAGATGAAGGAAAATCTTTCTATAATCAATTAGGAGACATATTTAGATATATTCCATTAGAGGGGGATGATACGTTGAAATTAGCAACAGCTCTAGATATGGCGATTGCTGAAAATAGGTCGGACACAGATCATCAAAACTTAAGGACAGTAACAGCAAGGGTCCCCAAAATAACAAATGAAGAAGTAGCTCAAGAATTTCAAAAAATAAAAAAGGGTAAAGCAATTGGACCAGACGATATCTCTGGGAAAGTTTTAATTAAAAATAATTAAAAGATACTCTACAGCCTCCTTCTGTCCCTTTGTTCATATACTTCCCATTGGGCAATTTAACTGACTTGAGTTTATTATTGCGTCTGTTTTAAGAATTTTGTTAACCCTGGTACTATCAGGTTATCAATGTTTTCACAGAATTCTTTTGAAGATCTTTCCGTAGAGGCCTAAATTATTTCTACTACTTTACTTCTAATTATTTGTATTTTACCTGGAAAGCGGCGTGGATGATGACAAAGGATGGCCACCCTTGTAGGAACTCTTAGGCGTTTTCATTTGACCAGCTAGAGACTGTAGTCCCATACTTGAATAGTGGAGATCTGCAGGACCTCCTAACCCGGCAAAATTGAGACCAGATGCTTGTAACCGTGCCAGATAATCTTGAGCAGCTAACTGAGAAGCCATTGACCACCAAGCAGCACCTGAAAAAAAAATATTATAGAGAATTTCCTCGACATATACTAATTTAACACAATTAAAAACTGCAATAAGTACGAGATGTGGGTATTAAATAACGAAACTGTGCTGTACATTTCATATAAAACCTCCATATGAATCATCCATTTTCGAAAACACTGGAGGAAGTCTTCTTTAGTTCTTCAGCTCTTTAAGGACGCCTAGAGTTTTCTATTTCACAGCTTCAATGGACTCAAATGTTGTTCCTTTTAATACATATTTCACCAAAGGAAACAGATATCACTAGGCAATGATATTCTGAGTCTATGTTTGCGCCTCTATAACTTCTGTATTTATAATTCTAAAATAAAAGAATATAAGATTAAAAAAGCGAGAGATAAATCACGTAATGGAAGACGATCTACGAGAAGACCAAGGGAACCATGGTCTCAGACAATGTTTAAAGCCCAGGAATATAAGGGCAATATTTAAGTTAGTGTTGATTTAAATATTGTTCATTGTTATTGTTCTTCAGAGCATTAACATTCGCCTGGAAAAAATTGGCTACCAAATCAATCGTGTTAGATATTATTAACATAATTATACATAATATGAAATACATTATTCAATAAATTGAAAGGGCATTATAAATGTAATACTTACTACCAGCCGGTATGCCCAAACTAGCTGCCTGGTTAGCTACAGCAGAGAGAGTGTTAGTGTATACAGAGGCAGCTGCCGATGCGTTGACTGTAGATTGGTAGGAAGAAGGCAGTGCCGAAGGTCGGCTACCTGCTGAGCTTGCAGACATCATTCCGAATGGTAAAGATGGGTGTGTTGGAAGACCAAAACCACCAGCTGCAACAGCAAATAAGTTTGCGGCAGCATCTCTGGGCCAGTACGCTAAAAAATAAAATTTAACAGATAATATAAAGAATAAGTGAAGTCCTAAACTCCCTCAGATAACCTCTTCATTCTTTATGCCATTCTCTCCCACGATTAATTACCAAGATGTCTTGCGTCCTCATCGACATCATCCTCCCATTACTTTCTCGATCTTCCAACAGTCATATGCTTGCTTGAAGTCGACAAAAATATTACAAATATCTACGTCATGTTCCCAGGCTTTGCTTAGGACCTGCTTAACCGTGAATAAATGGTCGATGGTTGATCTTCCTTGTCTAAATCCTGATTAATATTCTCCATGATCTTTGCGAGAGATGGTAGTCTAAGGTTAACTATACTGGCAAATATTTTGTACTCACAGTAAAGCAAGGAGATTCCTCATTTTTACAGAGGCAAACATTTTGTATTCACAGTAAAGCAAGGAGATTCCTCATTTTTACAGAGAAGTTTCATAGATTGAGCATTTCTCTTTGTTTGATGCTTAACATAATTGAAATATAATTTTAAATGACTAGCAAGTAATAAAAACTGTAATATTTGTCTTTTCTCTCTAAAACTATGTGCTCTGGTCACATAATCACATGTTTTGACTAGAGTTAAGGCCCATCAAGTAGCGACAGATCAAAGACACACTTCGAGGAAGAAAGGATTGTTAACCATATTTATTACTATGGAGTGGACATCCTACATGGCACCATCTACTATGCACCACACCAAATTCAGACACACAAAAGTTCAAAAGACATGAGCTTTGGAACGAGGATGATCGTCAGAGATTCTTCTAATTATAGTTTGAGATGATGAAATAACATGCACTTTTTTGTACAACCTTCCTTCCATATCCTAAGAAAACTTATACTTACCACCAAAGAGATTGGCAGCATCAAGCAAAGACGAATGATCTGGTTGATTTGAAACTTTGTTGGAGTTAGAGTTTCCATCATTGTTCTTGTCATTTTCCTTTTCCATTTCAATTCAGCTATCTAGAAAGTAGATTAAAGTATATCATTTGATTTTTTATCTATATATAAAACTTACTTGAACTCAATTGCTTAATATTTTTAGTAACTTGTCTTTTGAACCATTAAGAATCATCATAGAAGTAATTTAAATTTTTACCAGTGCGGAATTTTTTGTCAGTAAGTCCATATTTGTAAAAACTGCTTCATTTTACCTGTAAAAAATAGAGGTATATTAACAAAGAGAAAACACGGAAAACACAAAAACTCCAAACTGTGGAGTTAAACCAGCTTTAACTTGCTGATTACTAAATTTATTTTTATGAAATTTTGGTTGTTTGAACATTCGGCCATTTGAAGACAATCTGAATGCAGCAATTTAGTATTTTCTAAATAAAAAAGTCGTTGATAAAAATAATTTGAATAAAAAGGAATAGTATGTCTTGAATATTTATGATTCTTCAAGGTAGGAGGTGAATTAATGGACAAAGAAGATAGTGTTTTGGGGAGTGCCTTTATGTTTAAGGTAACCGGGTGTCGCCACCTCTTTTATTGAGATAATTATGGTGTTTTTCAGTGTCTTCGTGGATAACTATTAATCTCTTAAAGAAAATAATGAATGCTAAAGTTCTAGAATTCTAAAAATCAATTTTTTGACCTGTTTGTAGTAGTATACAACGTTCATATACTCTGTAGTAGTATGTAATATCGTGGATAGTCTGCACAAGAACTTTCATGAACCCCGTATTGTACGTTAGCCCTTTCGCTCATGGCGTCTACAATTGTTCACATAATTTTCAAGTATCTGGCAGAGTAACTAGAGTCCCTGGCCCTCCAGGTTGGGGGTTAGGCTAGAGGCTAACAACCTCTTTCTGCAAAAATCATTTGTTACGGAACCTCAAGAACTATTAGCCGGACGGAACTTACGACGACGACTCTGCAAACGAAAAATGGAATTAAGATTAGGAACGTGGAACACCCGAACCCTGTACCGAGCTGGAGCACTCGCATCTCTACTAGACATAGTGAACATGTACAGAGTAGATGTTTTGGCACTGCAGGAAATGCGATGGAGGGGAACAGGCATTCTTGACAAGAGAACCCACTCCATATATTACAGCTGCAATGAAAACCAACACATAGATGGAGTGGGATTTATAGTAAACCAAAGAACAAAAGGCCAAGTTATTGATTTTAAAGCCTACAGTCAAAGAATGTGCTATTTACGCTTAAAAGGTAAATTATTTAATTACAGTTTAAATAATGTACATGCCCCGACCGACGACAAACTAGAAGACGTTAAAGAACAGTTTTTCGAAGACCTAGAACAAGCCTATAGAAGATGCCCCAGAAATGACATAAAGATAGTTCTAGGTGACAGGAATGCAAGAATAGGACGAGAGCGAGTTTGTATGCCGACTATAGGCAGGCATAGCCTACACAACATCAGTAGCGATAACGGATTACGACTGATAAACTTAGCAGCAGCACTGAACATGACCGTCGCTAGCACCTATTTTGAACATAAGAATATACACAAGGTAACCTGGACCTCCCCTGATGGAAGAACAACTAGTCAGATTGATCACATCTTAACAGATTCAAGATACGGAACGGACATAATGAACTGCAGAAGTTATAGAGGCGCAAAAATAGACTCACACCACTGTTAAGTGGTCTCAACACTAAGGGCTAGAATTTCAAATTCCAACAAAGAAAAAAAATAGATACAAAGAAATGGAATGTACAGAAGCTGAGAGATGCAACTGCTGCAAAACAGTACTGGGAAAATATTACCAATAGGTTATAGCAAAGTCCAAGCGAAGAAGACCAGAGATATATAGACTCCTACTGGAACATGATAAAGGAAGATATTGAGTCAGCAGCACAAGATGAAATAGGAACAGAAACTTGTTCCCAAAAAAATTACTGGTTTGACGATGAATGCAAAGACGCAACACAGAAAAAAAAAAGCTTATGCAAAAATGCTTACCCGCCGGACTAGAACAAGTGTAGAGAATTACCAGACAAAGAGAAGAGAAGAAAAGAAAATACACAGAATGAAGAAACGAAACCACTTAAAAAAGGAACTTCAATATATAGAAAATCTCAACAGAGAGAAAGAATTCAGAACATTCTATAAGAAAGTTAACATCAACAGAAAAGAATTCAAGGCAAACACAAATCAATGTAGAAGTTCGAATGGCGATCTATTAACAACAAGAACAGACGTACTAAATCGATGGACGGAATATTTTAACCAGATACTTAATATAGAGGAAGAAGAAGAAAACCTGGAAGACGAAAGCTGCGAGGTAAGCGGAGTAGACGAGAGGGAGGAGAATCCACCAACGATCCTGGAAGTTAAAGACGCTGTAAACAAACTAGCCAGAAACAAATCACCCGGAATAGATAATCTCCCAGCGGAATTATATAAAGAAGGTGCCGAAGATATCATAATAGCGCTACAGCAGCTTATAAAAGAAATATGGATACAGAAGTCCCTTCCCAGTGATTGGAATACTTTGCACCATACACAAAAAGGGAGATATCTTTGAATGCTCTAACTATCGAGGAATTACGCTCCTAAATGCGGCTTATAAAATATTTTTCAATATACTATGTCCTCGTATGGGATAATAGGACAATACCAGGCTGGTTTCAGAGGTGGTAAATCAACAATTCATCAGATTTCAACCCTGAGACAAATTCTAGAGAAAACACTGGAATACGGTGTAGACACGTACCACATATTTATAGACTACAAGGCAGCCTACGACTCTGTAAATAGAAGAGAATTGTTTAGAGCAATGATAGATCTGGGAGTACCAAATCAGTTGGTAAGTCTAACCAAACCATCGAGCAAAAAGATAAAAGAAGGAATCTAATCGTTATGAAAAGGAGACCAAAAAAGTGGCCTCTGATGGCGGACATATCCGGAAATGCAAAGGCGCCAAATTTAAATTTTCCAACACTTATTAACAATAGCTATAAAATATTTTTCAGACGAGCAAGTTTTAATTAAATATTAACTATAATAGTCTAAAAAGTGACACAATTGGTAAAAAACTTCAATATAAATAAAATTTCATGTGGCAGTTGAGACAAACAATAACATAACCAAACTAAATTTGACTTCTCAAACAAGGAAAGAGACTGTCTTTCCTTGTTTAAAGTGGCCTCTCAAGATCGCACTTCCTGTCTAACAATATGTTTGCCCCCACTACCTTTACATTCCCTCTTTTATCTTTTTGCTCGATGAACCAAACTAACCTTTAAAAAAGTTGAATGCAAAGTACGAATCCAGGGGGAACTCTCTGAACCTTTTAATACAAATAACGAGCTACGTCAGGTATACAGCACTAAAGGAAGCGGCTACAAAAATGGGTTTAATAATAAACATTAATAAAACGAAATACATAAAAGTAGGTCCGCAACCACAAATACGACGGCCACTTGTTATAGAAAACGACGTCATCGAAGCAGTTAACGAATTTGTATACCTGGGAATGCTCGTCAATACTGAAAATGACACTATCGCAGAGATAAACCGCAGAATTTGCACGGCTAATAGATGCTATTTTGGCCTTAATCTCCTTTTTAAATCTACAGTTATATCAAGAAATACAAAAGTAAAACTCTACAAAACAATACAATAATACGCCCAGTCCTAACATATGGTTAAGAAACATGGACTTTAACAAAAAACAATGAAAACATTTTAGGATGTTTCGAAAGAAAACTACTGAGGCGAATCTAAGGAGCGGTAAATGAAAATGGTGTCTGGAGAAGACGATACAACTTCGAACTCCTTAGAATATACCAGGAACCAGATATCGTAAAACACATTAAGATAGGACGTCTGAGGTGGGTAGGCCATGTAATGCTGATGGAGCAAACCGACCCAGCTAGAAAAACGCTCCTTGATAGACCTATTGGTCAAAGAAGAAGAGCAAGACCCATAGCAAGATTCCTAGATAACATAGACCAAAATATGAGAAATATGGAAATACGTGCTTGGCGGAGGAAGGCGATGGGTAGGGACGACTTGAAGAGAATTATTGGGGAGGCTAGGACCCACACAGGTTTGTAAAGCCAAAATGATGATGATTTTAGACGAGGGCATGTTTTAGAGAAGAAAGTTCTGCGGATCTACTTGCATCGTTACAAAGGCGTATTGATTTTGAAACAAATGTATTGATGACTGAATTAATTTGTGAAGGTGGATGATGGGAGTTGGCATGCTAGTAGCGGTTCGTATGGATGTCTTTTCAGAAATAGAGTAAAATAAACCTTGGAATTGATTTTTCTTTATGACTACGTCTAGGAATGGTCAGGTTTGAAATGATACCTTACCATGATACCTCGGGTCTTAAAATTTTCCATGAAGATGACTTCCATGACTAGCAATGACTTCCAAGAGAGAGTGGGGTACCCATTGGGGCACATTTGACTTGTATGTAGAATTGATTTTGAAAGAAAAAATAAGTGATTCCAGAATATTTAGGGTTTTTTTCTATAAGAATTTGAGACAGGAGATTGTTTAAGAAGTTTGATAAAATGAAAATAATTTTTGGCGAACGAAGGGGCGTTTTCGGCGAAGGGTTGTAAGTTTGCGCCAAATATTTTTCTAATTGGTATATTGGGTTAGGCAGTTATTTGTTCCTTCATAGAACGCATTATCAAGTTATACCGTAGAACAATTCTACGCAACAAAAATTGCTTGGCTGACGTAAAACATTGGACTAATAGTATAAAATCATTTACTAGAAATGAATCATGTCAGAAAAGACAACTGGTAAAGTAAAATAGATATTCAACACAAAACTTAGTACATCTCCCTGAAGTTTATTTCAAGAAGAATCAATTTTGTTTCTAGTTGTAATATGTAACTTGTTTCTAGTTGTAATATGTAACTAAACACAGAAAGCACTTTCTACTCGATACTTTACTTATTCACATTTTCTTGAGTTAATAATAATATAACATACATATAAGTTTCAATCACCAAAACTTAAATCAAGAAAAATTTGTATTACCACTAATAATGCCATAGGTAACTGAACACGATACGTATATTCCACATATCTTTACATATTAAAATTTTCTGTCGCAATAATTATGCTACAATTCTATTTTTGTAGTTTATCTATTAATGTTATAGATACAATTAAGCAAGGAGTGAATCATCTAAACTACTTTGAATTGTATCTAT